CCCAGTTAGTTCATGGCCCTACTCACACGGGGGGAAACACGCTGGACCTGGTTTTTGTCTCTGGTCAGTGGCTGAGTGGTCTCGAGATAGGGGATATAGCGATCGAGCCCTTGTCATGGTCAGATCACTCCCTCCTTCGCTTTGACCTTCGAACCGCCACACCCCGCTGCAGGGAGGCGGAACCGATGAGGTGGTTCCGCCCCAGGCGCCTGATGGACCCGGATAGGTTCCAGACGGAGCTTGGGCCATTTCCTGAGGCTCTGGCACACGGCTCGACTGAAGACCTAGTGGCTATCTGGGATAGGGTGGCCGCTGGAGCTTTGGACCGGGTCGTGCCTTTGCGGCCTCTGACCCGGCGTCGATCTCACCTGGCTCCCTGGTTCACCGAGGAGCTGAGGGAGATGAAACGCCGGAAAAGACGCCTGGAGAGCAGTTGGAGGGCCAGCCGTTCTGAATCTGACCGAACACTGGTAAGGTCTCATATTAAGACCTACCTGGTGGCAATAAAAGCGGCAAAATGTAACTATTTTTCCGCTCTTATTGCGTCATCAGATAATCGCCCGGCCACCCTGTTTAGGGTGACCCGCTCCCTGCTCCACCAGGAAGCGCGGAAGGACCCCTTGGAGGGTAGAGCCGAGGACTTTGTACAATATTTGTATGACAAAATCGCTCAGATTCGGGAAAATTTGGACTCTGACTGGGTAGATTCGGGAGGGAGGATGGAGGCAAGTCTTGAGAATATTATCTGGGAAGAGTTTGATTCTGTGACTCTGGAAAACGTGGACAAGATACTGGGCAGACTAAGCGCGGCCACATGTTTATTGGACCTGTGTCCCTCCTGGCTGGTGCTGGCCTCTCGGGAGGTTACACGAGGCTGGCTCCAGGGGATTATAAATGCTTCCTTGAGAGAGAGTGTCTTCCCTGCTGCCTTGAAGGAGGCGGTGGTGAGGCCTCTCCTCAAGAAGCCTTCTCTGGACCCAGCAGTGTTGGCTAATTACCGTCCAGTCTCCAACCTTCGCTTCATTGCGAAGGTTGTTGAGAGTGTGGTAGCGCGACAGCTTCCTCAGTACTTGGATGAATCGGCTTATCTAGATCCGTTCCAGTCGGGCTTCAGGCCTGGATTCAGCACGGAAACGGCATTGGTCGCATTGGTAGATGATCTCTGGAGGGCCCGGGACAGGGGTTGCTCCTCTATCCTGGTCCTATTAGACCTCTCAGCAGCTTTTGATACCATCGACCATGGTATCATGCTGCACCGGTTGGAGGAGTTAGGGGTGGGAGGCACCGTGTTGCGGTGGTTCTCCTCCTTTCTATCTGATCGGTCGCAGTCTGTGTTGACAGGGGGGCAGAGGTCGACCCCGAGGCCCCTTATATGTGGGGTGCCACAGGGGTCGGTTCTCTCACCCCTTCTGTTCAACATTTATGTGAAGCCGCTGGGTGAAATCATCCGTGGTTTTGGGGTGAAGTATCATCAGTATGCTGATGATACTCAGCTATACATCTCCACCCCGGACCACCCCAATGATGCCCTTAAAGTGATGTCCCAGTGCCTGGAGGCTGTACGGATCTGGATGGGGAGGAACAGACTCAGGCTCAACCCATCCAAGACCGAGTGGCTGTGGTTTCCGACGTCCCGATATAGTCAATTGGTGCCATCACTGACTATTGAGGATGAGTCATTGCCCCCCACGGAGAGGGTTCGCAACTTAGGCGTCCTCTTGGACTCACGGCTGTCTTTAGAAGAACACTTGACAGCTGTGGCCGGGAGGTCTTTTTATCAGGTTCGCCTGATTCGCCAGTTGCGTCCCTTTCTGGATCGGGACTCGTTAAAAACGGTCACTCATGCCCTCGTCACTTCACGCCTGGACTACTGTAATGCTCTCTACATGGGGCTCCCCTTGAAGAGCACCCGGAGGCTCCAGCTGGTCCAGAATGCGGCCGCGCGGGTAGTTATGGGAGCAGCATGGCGCTCCCATGTGGCTCCCCTCCTGCGCGAGCTGCACTGGCTCCCTGTGGTCTTCCGGGTGCGCTTCAAGGTCTTAGTTACCACCTTTAGAGCACTCCATGGCTTAGGACCGGGGTACTTACGAGACCGCCTTCTGCCACCAATAGCCTCTCACCGCCCAGTACGCTCCCATAGAGAGGGGCTTCTCAGGGTGCCGTCAGCCAAACAATGTCGACTGGCGGCCCCCAGGGGGAGAGCCTTTTCTGTGGGGGCACCCACCATCTGGAACGAGCTCCCCCCAGAGATACAGAAGATTCCGGATCTGCGCACTTTCCGCCGTGCCCTCAAAACATTCCTGTTTCAGCAGGCCGGCCTGGCCTAACTTTCCCTTTATATTGCTTTTTGATTTTATTTTAAACTGGGATGTCTTGAATTATCTAGGACCAGAATGTTTAGTATATTTTAATTGGTTTTTTATTATTAACATTTGTATTACATGTATTTTTATCGTTCGCTGTTCACCGCCCTGAGTCCCTTAGGAATAGGGCGGTATATAAATTTAATAAATAAATAAATAAATAAATAAATAAATAATAAATAAATAAATAAATAAATAAATAAATAAATAAATAAATAAATAAATAAATAAATAATAAATAAATAAATTGCCCTGATTTGTAGCTCTTACTCAATCAACAGGCTACAGTTTTTATTTTTATACAGTTAAATTATATGTACAAATTGTGGTCATTCCTGCATTGGAAGGCTCAGTTTTGCCATCATTTGTGTCTTAGTCACTCCTGTTTTGAATATTTTAAAGTGCTTTGGGGGGTGCACCTGGAAATAATTCATTCACAAGCCAAAACCTGAGCAAAATGTGATGGCCAGGGCAATGGCAAGTGTATCATGATACATTTTGTATGACTACAGTGCTTTGGAGACTTCATTGGTTGCCTGTTGGCATCCTGGTGCATCTAAGATGTTGATTGTCACCATTAAAAGCCTACCTGATTCTAGACTAGAATACGTGAGGACCATTTTCCCTTATATTTATCTGCCCATCCAACAAGTTCAGATAGGATCAGCTCCATCTAAATCCCTTCTATTAAAATGTTCCTCTGGCGGACCCTCAAAAGTAAATGGGTTTTCGTTGTTCTTGGTGGTGGTGGTCCAATATTCTGCAGGTACCTCCCCATGGTGATTCAACCTGTTCCTTCTCTTGTGCTTTTAGAAAAAAATAGTTAAAAGTTATTTAGCACAGGCTATGTTGTCAGTGAAGGTTGGAATCTGTTACGTGCATGACTACCTATCTTTTTGGTTCGTTATTTTGATACTATCATTTTTGTTTGAGGCATGTGTGGGTTTCACAAGCGTATGTTGCTGTTGGTATAACAATACTCTTGAAGAGTTTTATCTTTGTGACAATACTTATGACTGTTGTAGACCAAATTGGGCGCATGTGTTGAAACATGGCCAATTTGATGGTTAATGTCCTTATGTGTATCTCCATCAATAGACATACTGCTACAAAGATAAGTACATTGTTGGACTTGTTCTGTAGCCTGGACAAGGACTGTTATAGGCATATTATCCTGAGCCAACTTGCATAAACTTGTACATAAGCCAATCTTTTTGGCCTCAGTTTCTAAACTGGTGGTCATTTCTTGTAAGGACCCCATTGTTTCACCAAGCAATGCAATGTCATCCACAAAATCTAAATCTGTTAGATGGGCTGTTGCCTAAGGGATGCCAAAGCTAGGGTTATCCATTGCTCTATGCATAACAAAGTCCATGGAAAGGAAAAACAAGACTGGTGACATCCCTGTCTTACTCCTGTATTGATGTTAAAGAAAGCTATGTTTCCAGATTCCGTTTGTACATAGCAGCTAGAGTTATAATACAGACTCTTAAAAATGTTTATAAAATGTTGAGGAATACCAAAGCACTTTACGATATTCCATAATGATACTTGATGAATTGAGTCAATCAACTTTTTGAAGTCAATAAAATTGCTTAGCTTTGGCTTTTGGAATTCTAAGTTCCGTTTGATGGAAGTGCGCAGCCAAGATGATTAAACAGTTAAATGTTTTCCAACAATGCTGCTTGAGAAGAATCCTCCATCCTCCTTATATCATTACCACATCACTAATGAAAAAGTACTACAAAGATCAGATTAAGAACACCTATTGAGAACTGTGAATGAATGTCGAATGCAGCTTGTTGGCCATATATTATATGTGCATCCAGAAATTGCACTCCATTGGATGCTTCCTGAAGGAAAGATAAAACGATGCTGGCCTTGGAAAACCTACCAAACAGTTAAGAAAGATCTTAAGATTATTAATGTCCCTTGGGATGATGCCAAAGATGCTGTGAATGATTGAAACCCCTTGAAAACACTTGCTGCCCAATGTGCTCTATACAGGAACTGATGAAGATGATGATGATATATGTGGGTTTATTATTTTTGAGGAAATTGATTTTTATTTTATGATGATCTTAATTGTTATCTGCCCAGAGCCTTTGAGAATAGGCTGCATGCAAATATAATAAAAAATAAATTATTTTATAAGTCAAGGGCATATTCTGGGGACAACTAAATTGGAATTCTTACCAAGATAGAAGAGGATTGTTTTTAAATATTCAGATTTACTGTAATGAATTAATGTACTGTAAGATTAAATTGAAATTTAATTCCATGTACTTTTGCCATATGTTTCTTTCTTCTGATCCTGCCAGAGTTTGAAGGACAATCCTTAGTCCTAAAAGATTTTGGGAAGGCTTAATTGGGGAAAAATGGATGTGTTCAAGGACACAAAAAAGTCTCTGCCTTATTATAAGTTGCATTACTGTAACTAAATAAGCTAATTACCTGAATTTGTACAATAAACTGACTTATTAGCTGCATCTATGAGAACTTCGCCTCATGCCTGTCATATGAACCCAGCCCTTTCTGATTTTAGATGAATTTTGATTATGCCACATTATCCCTTCCATTCCCCAAGTATTTAGTTCAAATAGTAACCTCTGTATTCTCCTGTTCCTTGTTTTGTAGATCCTGGATAAGCTGCTGGACAGGGAAAGTCAGACACACAAACCTCAAACTCTGAGTTCATTCTACTCATCTAGCAAGCCTACAGTAGCTAATCAGAAATCTCCTTCCAAACACACTACCCAATCAACTGCACCCATGCAGCATCTCCCAGGAACATCTGTTGCACAGCAGACAGGTGTACCGCCAGCAGTCCAAAGCAATCCTTCTGAACCCTTTATGGAGAAGACTACCCAAGGTATGGACAGCTGTGTCACAGGACTCTTCCAACTGCAATATACATTATACATTCATACACTATATGTTAACTAGTATTTTTTCCCATTTGGGAATAGGAATACCGAATCAGCCTGTGAATATCTACTCCAACTTTTAATTTTCAATATTTATGTAGGAAAGGAACTGAGTTTTGGTGATAGCATTAATACAGATCCTTGTTTGCAAATGGTCTTTCTCTTACTGTCTTTCTAAGTGACCCTTTGTGCTTCCCCAGAGAACCCTCAGAGATCCCCTTGCGACCCACCTGTTGAGTCCAGTATCCTAAAGCAAGAAGGGAAAGTTCCTAGCCGAATAGCTCTTGGAAGTAGAGGGGGCTACAATGGAAGATGCTGGGGTTCACCAGTCAGACAGAAAAAGAAGCACACAGGTAACTTGGGGCTGGACTTCACATCTCTGCTACTGGGTGAAGACCATGGTTCAGAGGTTTCTGCAAGTGGGGAGAACATTGAGGCAAAGATTGCCAGCCAGAGGGCAGGTTCTGCCTGACATCGGGTAACATTTTAATGAAAAATGCTTTGTTCATTGATTATGAATGGAAAACCCATATGAACAGTTAATAATATCCTAATCTACTATTCTCTAGATGGATTTGTTGAAGTTCAAAATTAATTAGTTAACTTTTCTTTTTTGTGACCTGAGGCTTTGTCTCCCTCTCGCCAGTTTTAATGATGCTGAAAATGTCCATTAGGATAAAATATGATGTGATATGTAGAGAGCTATACAAATACGTATTTTAATGAAGCCATATACATAGCAATAGCACTTAGACTTATATACTGCTTCGTAGTGTTTTACAGTCATCTCTAAGCAGTTTACAGAGTCCGCCTATTGCCCCCCAACAATCCGGGTCCTCATTTTACTGACCTCAGAAGGCTGGAAGGCTGAGTCAACCTTGAGCTGATAAGGATCAAACCCTGGCAGTCAGCAGAATCAGCCTGCAATACTGCATTCTAACCACTGCACCATCACGGCTCTCATAAAGTACTCATGTTGGTGGTAGGCTTGCAAATAGCTAGCTGAAGCATGAATTTCTTATCTATTGTAACTTTGCAATTATTACATTTGTAAATTAAATAATGATGTGAATAATTTTTCTCCAAATTAAGAAGGTGAAGGGACCAAAAGTATAGATTAGTAAGGATTAAACTGATAAAAATCTGCAGCATATTCTCTCTCTCTCTTTCTCTCTCTCTCTCTCTCTCCCCCTCCCTCCCTCCCTCATAGACACAATACCATATGAATGTGTTTTTTTCAATCAAAAACAGCTAAGAATCTTTGAGTTGTCTACATTAACAAACTTAATAATTTTTGCTGCAAAAAGAAGTCAATATGGTAAGAAATAGATTGAGAATGTTACAAGGGTTAATAGGATTGTGAAACCTGGGGCAGAGTCATGGTTTCCCAGTTTCTAGGATGATGACTTGACCACTATCCAAACTGACTCCAGTAGATGAGTTAGTAGTCCCATTTTAGGCAAAGCAGCTGGGTGTACTTGGGCTAGTCACTTTCTCTTAGCCCTAGGAAGAAGGCAGTGGCAAACCACTTCTAAAAAACCTTGCTAAGAAATCAAGTCCCTGAGAATTGGACATAATTGAATGGAAAGAAAAAGAACATCTATCTTAGCATAAATTTGTATAATCTGTGAAGTTGATTGTAATTTCTTTTGGTGCTACCAAATTATGTATCATAATCTATTATAAATTATTTATAAAATTTATAAATCTATTTATAAATAAAGAAGTAAGTATTGCCTCCAATCTTTTGGTGAACAGGGAGTTTTGCCTATCTCTTGCTGTAAATAATGTTCAGGATTTGGCATATAATTAGCTGAAATGAGTAAGGTGGCTCAGTTTGGCATATGGAAATCCACAAGAGTCAAGCCTGCGTCTTGTATATTTCCATATGCCAAACTGGAAAAGAATTCTTTGATAAGCATCAATATTCATCCCTCGGTAACTGATGTAACACTGTTGCAAATCAGAGCAGTATAATTGCCTGTGATGCTTCCTAACATGACATAATTTAAATTGATAGCCACCAGAAGCTCTCAAACAAATGGTGTCTATTTTCTAGTTTCTGATTTGAACTTAACTGCAGAATCCTCTGAATATTGAAAAAATGAGATGGTATTCAATATTTTAGTCTGATTATTTTGTGCCCTCTAAGCTTGCTTACCTGTTCTCATTGCCTTGTAGGAATGGCGAGCATTGACAGCAGTGCCCCAGAAACCACCTCTGACAGTTCTCCCACCCTCAGTCGACGCCCCCTGCGAGGGGGTTGGGCAACTACCTCCTGGGGCCGGGGGCAGGACAGTGACAGCATCAGTAGTTCTTCCAGTGATTCCTTGGGTTCCTCTTCTTCCAGTGGAAGCCGGAGGGCCAGCGGAGGGGCACGTGCAAAGACTGTGGAGGTTGGGAGGTGGGTGCTGCTGCTCATCTAGAATTGTGCATTTATGGTACAAATGTTTCCTGGCTCTTACCTGCATTTAGCCTAAGAAAGAGTCTCTAAAGCAGGAAGAGGTTCAGTCAGAAATTGGAGCTTTGTTATCTTTTGGAGAATATTTTATTTAGGTTTCACTTCAACTTGTTTAATGGCTCTTTTACTTTTCTTTCTTCAGGTATAAGGGCAGGCGACCGGAGAGCCATGCCCCCCATGTCCCAAATCAGCCCTCGGAGGCAGCTGCTCACTTCTATTTTGAGTTGGCCAAGACAGTTCTAATTAAGGCTGGGGGAAACAGCAGCACCTCCATTTTCACCCATCCGTCTTCTAGTGGTGGCCACCAAGGGCCTCATCGCAACCTTCACCTCTGCGCCTTTGAGATTGGACTCTATGCATTGGGACTGCACAACTTTGTCTCGCCAAATTGGCTCTCTCGGACTTACTCCTCTCATGTCTCTTGGATCACAGGTGGGGATAGTATCTGCATGAACTGTTCCACACAACATACCTGTCTTATTTTTAAAAACCCCATCATTGAAAACCCTCCCAGGTGGCTTCCTGCCATAACCAGTGGTGCTCTGGAAGTCTTATCACTAGTTTCCTAGCACAATTTGTACAACACAGGAAGGGCTGCGGAGTGGGAACAGTAACAGTTGTTATGATCCCCTTTTTATCCTTTTGCTGGAGGCTATATTGTCCAGTGGGAAAAAAATATTCATGAAAATTGTCATTACTCCCTTCGCATTTACAGGTATAGTTTATCTATTGTGAAAAAGATTAGTGTGAGTGATGGGGAGAATGAACTTGCACAGGATCACCATATAAACGTGGGAAGCGTGCACTGCTCCAAAGGCAAATAATAGCCCTGAGTCACCCTGAACCTTGTTGAATTTACAATCTGATTTTTGTCAGTCTTTAGAACAGGTCCTGTGCAGTAAAATAAAAACAGCTTTCAATTTGAGCAATCACAGTTTGTAGAGCTTTAGCTCTTTCTGTACTAATAAAGACATTGAGTCCAGAACGATGTTTCTTAACCTTTTTTGCCCATGGTCCCTTCTGACTTTTTCTCCTGCGGCCTCCCTCTTCAGCTCCCATTACTGGATTCAGGACAACTGATGTGTTTTTTTGCCAACAACAAGGCAATAACACATACTGCTTTTCTGTAGCCCTCTCAGTGTGTGCTGTGGTCCCCTGTTAGAATGTTTTTCACAAGTTGGGCCTTTGAAATATCCTAGGGTCACCAGGGCCATATCCCTCTCCCCCATCCTTTGAGAATTGCTCATCTAGAAGATGATTAGATATTTATGTTATATTATATTAATTCTAACATGAATAACTGCAATTTGCTTTTAACAAAGCTCAGGCAGCCAGCAAATTCAAGGAAAACACTGCTTCTAGAAAAGGGGAGGGTTTTTTGCCATTGCTGAAGTTGCTAGATTGACTTCCTGCCCTGTGGCAAGAGGCAGGATTTACTGGAGTTCCTGTATCAAGTAAGAATAAATACAGTGGCCAAGAATTTTCCCTGGGAAAAGGTGACTGAATGGAGAGGAATGAGCCCACTTCCTTTCCTCTTTAGCATGTGGGTGAATATCATAGCTGAGTGCTGGTTAGATACACAGACAGCCTGGACAGAGTTGAGCTTGCTTCCATCTGGTGTGAGGATGAATGCTGTGAAAACAGGCTTCTTACCTGCTATACAGCTTCTTGTGCCAATGTGAGAAGCATTGTGATGTGTATGTGTGGTTAAATTGGAATAGCAACAGCATACAGGTATCACTTGCTACCTGGACACCAGACAAATGGAAATCAACTCTTCAATTCTCTCTTTCCTCCTATAATAAAAGTCCCTTGGAGATTTAACACTTATTGTATCAGCTTTTTTTACTGAAAATCATGGTCTTAATTCAGTGACTGACGATTGCGTTTCAGCAACATATTCTAGGAACTTTTTGGGGCCTGCATAAAAGGGAGAGAAAAAGGTGGGCCTGATCTGCTCTAAATCAGTATGGTAGAAATGGGCAATATACAGTAGTTACAAGTTTTAGGTGGGAGTGGGTACCTCATGTAGGAGATTGAATGACAGAATTTGGTCAGGTGCAAGAAGTATCTGCATGCATTCAGAGCTGTGGAATTTTAGTAACAGACACTGTTTCCAGCGTCTCTAAAAAGGAAGCATATGGTAGCAGCAGGAAAATGGGCCATAGATTGCCTATTTCTGGCCTCTATTCAGTCTGATTTGGTTCTTAATACTGTCCAAGATACTTTCCTTTGTAATGATATAATAATTTAATCACTGGAAAGAATTAAAAGAGACTACTTAATATATAGACCTAATATCTGACCTGACTCTCTTCTGCCCTTTTCTCTGGCCTCTAGGGCAAGCCATGGAGATTGGCAGTGCAGCCTTGAATATCTTGGTGGAATGCTGGGATGGACACCTAACTCCCCCAGAAGTGGCATCGTTGGCTGACAGAGCTTCAAGAGCTCGGGATTCCAATATGGTGCGATCGGCTGCTGAGTTGGCATTGAGTTGTTTGCCACATGCACATGCCTTGAACCCCAATGAAATCCAGAGAGCCCTGGTCCAGTGCAAAGAGCAGGTGAGCAAATCAGACATCTTTGATCCACTTCAGCACCTAGCAAATACAGGCATGGGCCCAGCTTTTTTATGGCATTGCAGAATAGGGCTGAAACATGGGCTATTGCACTTCATCAACAACTACATTGTTTAGAGCTGATCTCCCCTGTTTTTCAGTTCTTTAGAACTGCATCTCTCGAGAGTGAAATTATGACTCTATCTAGCAACTTCAGTGTTGTGGCAAAGATCCTTCCTCTGTTGTTTTATAGTTTTATAAACTGAATTAAAACAAATAAGGAACAAGCAAGTTAGCCAAATACATAAAACCACTGAAGAGAATAAACTGATTTTACATTAAATTTTCTTCAAAGCTTCTTGTGTAAAAGTAAATTGTTATAAATCCTGCACAGCCATTTATTAGATCCTGAGGCTTTGGAAGATAGCTTTGTTTGTATGTTTATTTTCCAGAAATGGTATACAGATAGTCCTAGATTTACAGTCATTCAGTTAGTAATTGTTCAGAGTTATAATGGTACTGAAAAAAGTGACTTACAATGGTCCTCGTACTTAGAAAGGTTGCAGCATCCCCACAGTCAACTGATCATAATTTGCGTGCTTGGCAACCGGCATGTATTTACAATGGTTGCAGCATCTCCAGGACATGTGATTCTCATTTGCAGCCTTCCCAGCTGACTTCCAACAAGCAAAGTTAATGGGGGAAGCCGGATTCACTTAACAACTGCAGTGATTTGCTTAACAATTGTGGCAAAAAATGTTGTAAAATTAGGTATGATTCACTTAACAACCATCTTACACTGGAAATCCTGGTCCCAATTGTGGTTGTAAATCAAGGACTACCATTTTGGAACCATGAGCAGATTAACCATTTCCACATCTACACTGTGTGTACAATTATTAGGCAAATGAGTATTTCAACTGTATCATCATTTTTATGCATGTTTCCACCTCCAAGCTGTATAAACTTGAATGCTTAGTGGATATAAGCATATCAAGTGATATGTATTTGTGTAATGTGGCCTAAGGAAATCAACACCCTATATCAAGGAGTGCATATTATTAGGCAGCTTCTGTTCCTCAGGTAAAATGGGCCAAAAAAAGAGATTTAACTGACTCTGTAAAGCAGGGGTGTCAAACTCACATTGTCACGATGTGACATATCATGACTTTTTTCCCTTCGCTAAAATGGGGGTGGGAGTGGCCAGCGTGTGAAGCATCCGGCCCGCGACTTTGACACCCCTGCTGTAAAGTCAAAAATTGTAAAAAGTTTTCAGAGGGATGCAGCACTCTTAAGATATTGGGGTGTGACCACAGAACTATCAAAATGTTTTGTTGCAAATAGTCAACAGGGTCGCAAGAAATGTGTTGAGAAAAAAAAAAGATGCACATTAACTATCAAAGATTTGAGAAGAATCAAACGTAAAGATACCAGGAACCCATTATCCTCCAGTGCTGTCATATTCCAGAACTGCAACCTATCTGGAGTGCCCAGAAGTACAAGGTGTTCATTGCTCAGAGACATGGCCAAGGTAAGGAAGGCTGAAACCCAACCACCACTAAACAGGACATATAAGTTGAAAAGGCAAGACTGGGCCAAGAAATATCTGAAGACAGATTTTTCAAAGGTTTTATGGACTGAGGAAATGAGAGTGACTCTTGACAGACCAGATGGATGGGCCTATGGCTGGATCAGTAATGGGCACAGAGCTCCACTTCAACTCAAGATGCCAGCAAGGTGGAGATGGAGTACTGGTATGGGCTGGTATTATTAAAGATAAGCTACATGGACTCAAAATCAACACCCAAACCTACTGCCAGTTTTTTAGAAGACACTTTCTTCAAGCAGTGGTACAGGGAAAAGTCTGCATCTTTCAAGGAGACCATGATTTTTATGCAGGACAATGCTCCATCACAGGCATCGAAGTATCCACTGTGTGGCTAGCCAGTAAAGGCCTTAAAGATGAAAGAATAATGACATGGCCCCCTTCCTGACCTAAACCCTATTGAGAACTTGTGGGCCCTTGTTAAACGGGAGATTTACAATGGAAGAAAACAGTTCACCCCTCTCTGAACAGTGTCTGGGAGGCTGCGGTTGCTGCTGCACAAAAAGTTATCAACAGATCAAGAAACTGACAGACTCCATGAATGGAAGTCTTATGGCTGTTACTGAAAAGAAGGGTGGCTACATTGGTCACAGTTTTTTTTTTTAAAATGTCAGAAATGTTTATTTGTACATTTTGAGTTGTTTGTTTATTATTCTCACTTTAACAGATGCAAATAAACGAAGGAGATGGGAAAAGTTGCATAATAATTCTGCACACTAATAGTTGTCCAATAATTGTGCACACATAGATATTCTCCTAAGAAAGCCAAAACCTCACTTTTACTTTCTTAAATATTCAGATTTGAGGTTTATTAACATTTTGGATTGACTGCGAGCACTGTAATTATTCAATAATAACATTAATCCTCCAAAATACAACTTGCCTAATAATTGTGCACACAGTGTATGTCTTTAATAATTTCATGCAGATAACAAAATTGAGCGTTCAGTTGTTTTATATTTTGTGCTTTGTTCAGCAGAATATTATACTAAACTTCTCTTTTTTCTTCAGATTTTCATTATTACAATATATTTTTAGTTTGTAGGGGACTAGTTATCATGGATTTGTTTTGTTCAGCCAGAGGGGGAGGTAGCTGTACCCTTTGCAATTCAGGAGCATGAAAGCCCTAGGCTGGCCTTTTCCATGCCTGACTGTTTTGTACTGCTAGTTTTGCTGCCTCGTAGCCCTTAGTTGTATTTCATTCTAATAGTTAATTCTAGATGGTTATTTGTGAAGGCTCCTATAAATACCTTGAATCAATGTAGCTTTTGAATTTGCAGGATAATCTAATGTTGGAGAAGGCTTGCTTGGCTGTAGAAGAGGCGGCCAAAGGCGGCGGAGTTTATCCTGAAGTTCTGTTTGAGGTTGCTCACCAGTGGTACTGGTTGTATGAGCAAACAGTTGGGGGAACTCTTGCCCAGAGGGAAGGAGCAACAGGCTGCAGTGCAAACGGAGCCCGGGCGTCATGCGAAACAGTCCGTGGACTACCAGACGCCAGAGTGACATCAGAATCTGCTACAGTAACGGTGGCTGCTGCGGTGACGGCAGCAGCAACAGTAGTGCCTGTGATCTCAGTGGGGTCAACCATATACCAGCAGCACACTGTGGCAGGACCAGCAATGGCACACGCACACACCCAGGGCCTGCATCCCTACACGACACTCCAGACCCACATTCCTTGCAATCCTCAATACATCGGCCATCCTCTTCAGCACATGCCACGGCCAGCAGTCTTCCCAGTGCCTGGGTCTGCTTATCCACAGGTATGTTGTTTGTAACTGTCTAGAATAAGTACTTCGACTGTGGCACATCTACTCTTCAATGCAGATGACAAGGACTAGACAGTGGCTGGGCAGAAATGGCATTTTATTTCTTTTCCAATTTGCAAGCAGGGATGTTGGGAAGAAATGTTTTGTTGTTGTTCAAGGGAAGAAATGTTCTCCAACAATCTCTTGGGGCATCCCCCTTAGCAGTAGTAGCAACTACATTGCTGAGAAAGTCTCCTGGGAGTTTCCGTTGATGTTTTTGATATAATCTGAGAGATTAGAGAGATTATTGTATAGTCATGTTGGTGCCCCTTGGACAATCTCTAGAACTAAACTTCACTTGATTTGTGTTTGGATGGGTTGGCTAGCTTTGTCTATCAATTGCTATCAGAATCTGCTTTCTTTTAATTGAGATTCTGTCTTGAGTGTAACTCATTAATACCCTGACACGTTTTTTTGTTCATAAGCAATTGAATTTAGCCTTATCTAACTAGAATGGTTATTATCAGTGTTAACAAAAAGTCTTACATTTCTTAAATTACAACTTTCAAACTGTTGGTAAAGCTATGGTATAAAATTTTTATTTGATATTTTTGTACTGCTCAGTATGCTTCTTCCTGCAACTATGGATTATTTTCACATGTAACCTGGTAAAGGTTTCCTAGGGGCCATCCCTAAAAAGAAATGTTACCTTTCTTTTAAAAATATTTTAGTTTGGATGTCTCCCCCTTTTAAAACTCAAACAATATGCAGGAGATGGAATTGTTGGTACGCAAAGAGCTGTTTGCACCTGACAAAAATGTGATCTTGCCTCTTTGTGAAGGAGCAGGCAACTCTATCCTCTCTCTCTGCAGGGTGTCCACCCAGCATTCATCGGGGCCCAGTACCCCTACTCGGTAACCACTCCGTCTTTGGCAGCAACTGCAGTGTCCTTCCCAGGAGTCCCCGTCCCTTCCATGACACAGATTGCTATGCACCCCTACCATGCTGAGACAGGGCTCTCACTGTCTTCCAATGTAGCAAGTGAGTATTCTTGTGACGGGTGAAAAGATGTTTTAGCAGGACTTTCTCTAACTGATGGTTGCAATATTACAGTACTGTGGTATGACATCTAGTGTGGAAACATCTAACATTCAGTTTTCAACATCTATTCCTGTGACTACAACCAATGAGAGTGTTCGTTAAATGATAACGGTAAACCTTCCCTACGTTGATGCCTTTTTTTTTTGGTGGTGGTTTAGTTACAATTGTCAGATTTTCTCACGATGTCCTGAATGTTTGGGGGCTGTTAGTCTTTTTGAGTGTTGCAGTTTTAATTACAAAATAGCTTCCATTGGCACTGTGGCTAATCACAAACTTTATAATTTGCAACTGGCCCATTTTATATTAGACTGCAGGTTGTTCATCATCTTTATCATTTAAGTGTAAAATTAGGAAAGAGAGGGAAGAAGCATGGTGCTGGTGCTTAGGGGTGGGGAAAAAAGAGAGAAGTGGAATGAGCAATAGGAGTACTTAGGCACTTAGTGCTTTCATTGCAAACCGGGAGGGATTTGCAGCTGGAAGCAGTTGTTGGAACTGGATGTTGCTTGGAACATGTCTGGTTCCAGAGACCTTTCAGGTGTGAAGTGCAAAATGAGGAAAAAGGACAGCCTGCCTTACTCAGATCCTCAACCAGGCCCTATTCATAAGAAGCGGTGCAGAATCGGAGGACACAGTCTTTCACTTAATGATATGGGACCCACACAGATAGTCCTTGGGTACATCCATTTGTTTAGCAAGTGTTCAAAGTTATGACAGTGCTGAAAAAATGGACATACAACTGGTTCTTGAAGTTCTGATCATCAGCCACATGATCAAAATTTGTTCTGAGCCATCACTCACTTGTGGCACTCCTCTGCCTATGGCACTTGCCCTCACTCACTGGCATCTACCCACAGCTCTCACTAGCCTACTTGCCTGCGACTCCTGCCGCTTCCCATTTAACGATCAGGATGGTTCAAACCAATGAGGCCACTTGATGTCACTTTGTGACAGAAACTCATATCCCGACGGCCATCATAACCCTAAGACTTCCACAACCCAAGTTCTACTTTCCCATCCCACGTGCATTCATGTTTAAGAGATGTCCTGGAGATTTGATTTCTTTGTGTGAATTTCAGTTTCAAAGATGAGATTGAAGTTATGTTCCCATCAGATTCTTGATTTCAACAGCAGGAAGAGAAACAATCCTCACAGCAATTATAATTACCCTGATCCTAAGGGTCTTTGACCTCATAACAGCCCTTTTGTGATGATGCCTTATTTCTGTATTAGACTCCCCAAAATAGCCAGAAGGCCAAAAATGTTATCTGTCCTTGGCAAGTATCCAAAATGACTTCCATAGGCTTTACTGGTTGCCCATTTCATCTGGAAAGTCTGATTTGTGAAACCTTCAGACAAGAATGCTGTTTCTTTGTCTTATCTACTAGGCAAAATCTCTCCCTCCCTCCCTTCCCCTCTCTCTCTCACACACAAATTTGTTCTTCTTGAAGGAAAGGAGATCCTTGCTCAAAACAAGATTATTTATCCCAAAGATAATACAAGTAACATAGAATATAGAATAACAGAGTTGCAAGGGACCTTGGAGGTCTTCTAGTCCAACCCCCTGCTCAGCAGGAAACCCTACACCACTTCAGACAAATGGTTATCCAACATCTTCTTAAAAACTTCCAGTGTTGGAGCATTCGCAACTTCTGGAGGCAAGTTGTTCCACTGATTAATTGTTCTAACTGTCAGGAAATTTCTCTTTAGTTCTAAGTTGCTTCTCTCCTTCATTAGTTTCCACCCATTGCTTCTTGTCCTGCCCTCAGGTGCTTTGGAGAATAGCTTGACTCCCTCTTCTTTGTGGCAGCCTCTGAGATATTGGAAGACTGCTATCATGTCTCCCCTAGTCCTTCTTTTCATTCAACTAGACAAACTCAATTTCTGCAACCGTTCTTGATATGTTTTAGCCTCCAGTCCTCTTAATCATCTATGTTGCTCTTCTCTGCACTCTAGAAAGAGTCTCAACATCTTTTTTACATCACGGTGACCAAAACTGAACGCAATATCCAAAGTGTGGCCTTACCAAGGCATTATAAAGTAGCATTAACCCTTCACGGGATCTTGATTCTATCCCTCTGTTGATGCAGCCTAGAACTGTGTTGTCTTTTTTGGCAGCTGCTGCACACTGCTGGCTCATATTTAAATGGTTGTCCACTAGGACTCCAAGATCCCTCTCACAGTTAAAGATCCCTCTCACATACTTAAACATTTTTCCTGCAATACAGAAAATTATTGCAAAATTTTAAAATATAGTGATTAAAATATAGCATTCCACAAGGGTGACTAATTGAAAAAATGCATAACAAATACCAGATGTCTGTGAAAATAAACAAGGCAGAACATCTGAGAGAGGCAATGCCAGCAATATATAAAAAAAAAAACTTTCTCAGAGAAAGAAAGTTATACTTAATGATGATTTTTGAAGGCTAGATTTTAATTATCTGAAAAGAAGAGGAAAATAGAAAGTTGAATAAGAACACTTATGTGTATAAATTCTTTTCTTATGTGTATAAATATGTGTATAAATTCTTTTCTTACCTATTAGCATCTGCACCGTTGCAGAGAATATCATTTTAAGTTGTAGAAACATTTTAAGGTCTGATAGGAACTTTTGTGTTTATTGGTGAGTTGTAGTAAATAACTTATCAACATTTATACATTTATAAATATTTTATAAGTATGAAAGTAAATTTCACCATATGAGTCAAAAACAGTTTATATCTTCAAACTTAACTTGATCTTGGACATTATTCTTGGCGTTGGTTTTGGGCAGAAATCTACACTACCACTTCAGCATTCAAATTGTAAACTGTAATTTGACTTTGAATATCTATGTCAAAGTCCAGAATTGTATTTAAATTCATTATTTTAATTTCTGTTTCTATTGTATCACCATTTCCTATGTGTATGAAGAATTTATCTGCTTACTCACATAAGATCACTTGATTGGTGTTCCTTGAAGAATTTGCAAACCAGTGGGATGTGGTGATTGATGAAAAACAGATTTTTATGCAAATTAATGAGTAAATTAGTAAAATTAAGCTACTAAGAAATCAGTGTCTTTTGTGTATTACAAGTTTGTTGTAAGCATGCTCAATCTCCTTTGTGTTACTTACACAATAGATCTAATTGCTAAGTTAAAAGTTTGGTCAGGAAGTGTTTTATACCACTGTCTATTCTGAATCAATTCATCTAGTCCATGAGTAGTATCGAGTACAAGTTAAAGACCAGAACTGCTTCTTTGGATTTCTAGTCTTCAGTATTTTAGTGATACATAGAGAAACAATTGTTTATACCCCAACATTGTTCCATGGAACAAAATTCTATTTTAAGTCTTATTATCTGTCTTGGTTTGAAATTCCTGCTTTTTTGGTTTTATTTTAAATTACATTATTAACCAGGCACAATAACTGCAATTCTAGAGTCAAGCAGGCAGTTTCAAGAAGACTAATGTATAAAATTCAAGAAATGCAGAAATTGTTATTATGATTTTATAACAGGGATCATCCTTAAATTCTACAGCAATATGTTCTTCACTGAATCATAAATGTTTCCTCAAATAACCCAGAAATCTATAAATGTCTCCCCAAAGAATACACATGGAACAATGTGCCATGCGTATCAACAGAGTAACACGTGGACAGTGATTACTATAAGGACTATTTCTGTACACCTGGAATATCTATCTGCCTTTGTATGTTTTCTCTTCTTTCCTATTGATAACAAAAGTCTTCAGCCTGCCATCTTTGTCACTTCCCCGATCTTTGTCACTTCCCCTGAGATGTGGGTCTCAGTCTTCCTTTTTCTTGTCCTTCAGTAGTAAGAACTGGGCCTTCTATCTGCATTTGTCTGATGGCCTGACATAATCGAATTCCATGAGTTCCTATTTTCATCTATGTTGCCAGGTTGTCTTTCTTACTTTTTGATGTTGCAAGAATATGTCATGAGATGGTATCTGGAACACTACATAAAAACTGTGAGTCAATTAGCCTCCCCCTCTCATAAATTTATGTGTAATTAAACATGTATTAATAGACATTGTGCCTTGAGGATTTAATTATTCTATTTTATTTAAATAGAATGACATGTTAGCTATTACAAATACTTGAAACTTTTTTAGAAGTACTTGTATAGAGAGGGGAAGTTCTACCATTTCCAGTGGGGAGCTGGAACATGGTCTATTTTGGTGTATTTTTTCCCTTTTGCCAATGTTATGCAAAAGGAGAAACTACATAGAAAGGCTCAGCTGTTGGGAAACACATAACCCGTTTGTTTATTCTCTGCTACTGTGTTTCCACCAGGTTAATTAATATTAATCCCTGACATGTATGCAGGCAGAGTATAACTGAACTCCTGTAGCTGATGTCTTTGATTTCTCCCCTTTATATGGTTGTTTCTTCTCTCCAGTAGGAAGTGTTCACGCAGGGTCTACTTTCCCAGCAATTCAAGGGACTTCCTTAACAAGCTTGTCTTCTCAGCCCAGTTCCCTTGTGACAGGGGGCTTCCCTTCGGAAGATGAACAACACAGCCAACCGGTCAGTCCTCAAGGATTGCACTACCTTCATTCTGCCTACCGAGTTGGTAAGGACAACAAACAGTGACACTTTCCGTGTTTTCAGCTGGCCTTCAGAACAAGAGTGATGCATATCTTCTTAACAGCTACCTGGAAAGGTTGCCCTGTTCTGCCATTTGTAGATGAAAGTTTAGATTCCCTAGTTTAGGTTGGTGAGCAGATTACCGGTGAATAAATAATTCAGGAGAATAAGAAGAGACATGGGATTTTATTACAGTTGCAGGAAATTGCATTTGTTAGCAATAACAAATCACTCAGCCTTCCATCCTTTCTAAGGTAGGTAAAATGTCGACCTGGATTGTGGGGGCAATAAGCTGACTTTGTATAAATATACAAAAGTATGAAGGCTATTGCTTAACGCATTGTAAGCCGCCCTGAGTCTCCGGAGAAGGGCGGCATATAAATCAAATTAAAAAAAAAAATCCTTGTTAGAATGGTAATGAGGTTCAACAGGCATGGACTAGTGCAGGGGTTGGCAACCTTAAACACTCAAAGAGGTCACAAAGGTCCTAACTGGAAGCCCCCATTCAATTCTGGAGCCGACCGGAAGTCCAGTTCCCCCACCATAGAGTCTCCTCCTAGCACGGCATCCTTTTTCCTCTACCTGTCTGACCAAAAGCCCTATCAATTGTGGAGCCAACCGGCGACAGGGAGCGGCAGCAGAGGGATGAAAGAGCCACATGCGGCTCCAGAGCCGCGGGTTGCTGACCCCTGGACTAGTGCAATGCGCTGTGCATGGGGCTGCCCTTGATAACCACTTGGAAGATACAACTGGTCCAGAATGCAGCACCATAGGCAGATATGAGGTACATCTCATCAGACTTATGTAACATCTTTGCTTCATGAACCACCACTTGTCTTCCATGTGCAATTCAAGGTGTTGCTTATTACCTACAAAGCCTTTCATGACATTGGGCATTTTTCTTCTGGTGATGGTGCATTCTTTTGGGTTCAGCTATACATTATGTGCACAATTATTAGGCAAGTTGTATTTTGGAGGATGAATTTTATTATTGAACAACTACAGTGCTCTCGGTCAATCCAAAATGTTAATAAACCTCAAACCTGAATCCTTAAGAAAGTAAAAATGAGGTTTTGGCTTTCTTAGGAGAATATTTATGTGTGCATAATTATTGGGCAACTATAGGTGTGCTTAATTATTATGCAAATAAATGAAAAATAATTTTTCCCCATCTCAATCATTTATTTTCATCTGTTAAATTGAGAATAATAAACAAACACCTCAAAATGTACAAATAAACATTTCTGACATTTCCACACACACAAAAAAAAAAAACCAACCCCCCCAAAAATTGTATTATTTTTTCCTCTGATACTTTTCTTGGTCATATAATTTTCTATAGAACTCCTGAATTATTTTCTTTTTGCTCTCATTTTGATCCCGTAGAGCTCCTTTATCTTGCAATTTGCTTATCAATTTCTTTTCTTTCTCCTTTTTCAGTTTATGAGCTAACCACCTTCCTGATTTATTGGCATTTAAAAAAAATGTTTTGCTCTTTTTATTTGTTGTGCCAATTCTTCTTTTTCCATTAAATTTAATTTGTATTTTATTATTTCCACTTGAGTTTTTAAATTTCCTTTTTGCGGTTCTTTTTGTAGGTCAAATTCAAGTTTTTATGTACTCTTGTTCTAGTGTCTTTTAACATTGTTTCTTATTTTTTCTCGCTATGTAAGTTATAGCTAGCCCCTGATTTTTCTCTGGGTTTGTTTCTCTCCATGTATCCTGTATGCGTGTTTCTTCTGCCATTTTGAAAAAAGGCCTAGGAAGAGTCTCCCTTACCTTTTTACCTATTTTGCTACTTTTTAGTCACGTTTTGTATCTACAATAGCAATAAAGTCTCCTAAAATTCTTCTTGTTTGTTCTTTGGTGCATATATTACTATCAAGAGTATCTGTTCTTTGTTTATTACTAACTCCACCATCAAAATTCTCTCTTCTTCATCTGTATAAATTTGTTTAGCATTTATTGTTTCCTTAATATAGACGCTGCTATAGATTTGGATCGCCTTATAAATTTCTGAAAAGTAATTAATGTGGGAAGAAGCTTCTCATGGGAATCCTTTCAATTACCAGTACTAAAGAAGGCAAAAAGAGACTGACTCTCAGGCCAGATCTTTGTTCCTCTTTCCAGTCTTCAATCTTAAGCTTTGCAGAGTCCCGAGGCTCTTCCTTTTTTAAAAGAAACAAACCAAAACTCTGCTAAGGAGAGTGAAAAATATAACTGTTTAGCATATGGCTTAGGGCTTTTCTTTGCTACAAATTGTTCCACATGTTGCTTCTATAGTGCAGGGAGCTTTAAAATTCCTGTTTAAATTTTAACAAGGTGAAGGCCGAAAAGGTGGTTGGTTCAAACTGCTCTCTCTTGCCTGTGTGGGAAGTGTGAGCGAGGAAGCCCAAATTGAGGGTTCAATTTGTTCTCCTCTTCAGGGATGCTGGCACTGGAGATGCTTGGTCGCAGGGCTCACAATGACCACCCCAATAACTTCTCACGCAGCCCCCCCTACACAGAAGATGTGAAGTGGCTTCTCGGACTAGCGGCCAAATTAGGTAAGATCCACAGACACCCTAATGTGAAGGGGAGGGAACATGCATCCTGCCTGCCTACATCTAGAGTGTCCTATTTTATTGCCTAAAATTGCTAGTGCCAGTGATCCCTTGGTGAAAAGTAGCCAGTGCAATTTAAGGGGGCTTCTGGTACATTTTCCAGCTTGAAATTTTCAATGCAAAAAGTTGGCAGCTGTTTTTTTAAATGTTATTTCCAGTACTTAATGTTAGAAAGAGAATTTAAAGCTGGTTGCCTTTGACATCAAGTGGCTCTCTGTAGATCCTAGCCCAGATTATTTTAATTGCCAATGGTTGAAAAATAAAAGACAATAGATGTTATCCCTTTTTCTTGACTAATGTCTACCAAGATAGCTGCTGGTTTTGTTCTGCTCCTTACAGAAGAGGAATATCTCTCTCTCTCTCTCTCTCTCTCTCTCTCTCTCTCTCTCTCTCTCCCTCCCTCCCTCCCTCCCTCCCTCCCTCCCTCCCTCTTCCTCTCACACAAAGACAGGGACTTATTTCCTATGCCTTACATTCACAATAAATGCCTTTGCTCTTTGCAGGTGTGAACTACGTACATCAGTTTTGTGTTGGTGCAGCCAAGGGAGTCCTGAGTCCTTTTGTGCTGCAAGAGATCATCATGGAGTCCCTGCAGAGACTTAATCCTGCCCATGTCCACAACCACTTGCGCACACCTGCCTTTCATCAGTTGGTGCAGAGGTGCCAGCAGGCGTATATTCAGGTATACCTGGGCTTTCGTCTTATTGGTAAATGTTGGTTGCTTTACGTTGTTACATCCTCAAACCCTCACAGCTTCAACCTTAAACTGTCTACTGTGGACATCACCCCATTCCTAAAAGGTCCATAAAGAGGGCGTGCATAAGCGCACCTGTGTGCCTACCGTCCCTGTCCTACTGTCCCCATTTATTTGTACTCATTTCCTTCGTTCATGTCCATGTTCATATTTATACCTGCTATCTTGTACATGTTTGACAAGCTAATAAATAAATAAGTAAGTAAGTAAGTAAGTAAGTAAGTAAGTAAGTATATAAATAAACTTAAATGTGCCCTCTTTTGGGAGAATGGAACAATATGACTGCTGTGAAACATAGATCAGTTTTAAGCTGCTTAAAGCATCAGTTTATTCATGTCTGTTTTCCAAACTTCCTATTCCTCTGAAGGACTACCAAAAGAGGGACTTTGTCATTTTGTGGGAAAAATTAAATCAGACAGTACAGGTTATTTGTTGATTCCCTGGAAGACCTTTCAATTGGCTTTCCTTCTACTTCCCCAAAAGTGGTATAGAAGTCTAAGTGCTATTGCTATTATTGTCTTAAAGGACAAGGGGGCAGCGGTGGCTCACGTGCTAAAATGCTGGGCCTGCGCACCGCTGATGTCGGTGGCTCGATTCCTGTGAGGGAATAAAGTGCAGAAGGGACAAGAAAGGAACCTCCCCTGATTGCCTATCAGCATTCAGGTGTCCCGCGAGTAAAGATAACACCGCCCCAAAAAATTTCTTTTCACAGAGGCGGCCAGCCACCTCAGTGATCCCTGGCTAACACGTGCCATACGCTAAAATAAATAAATAAAAATAAAATAAAGGGACAGCACATTTATTTTTTCCCCTCTCCTAGCTCTGTCTGTAACTCCTGTTCTGAGACTCTAAATGGGATCTCAGTTGTGATGGCCAAGACCTAGCTTTAGATTTCTGCTCAATACTTTGGGATTTATTCATGTTTGCTCACTATTTCTTCTTCTATCCAAGATAAGTATGAGACTAACAGTACAATTGGGAGGGACTGGATCACACTGAGCATTTTGGACAAGGGTGAGATAAATATTATGTAAGAAGGTGGACCACTGAACCGTTTTTGGCATTTATCTACACAAGAGGGTAGATAAGTTTACTACAGTAATAAATCCATCTAGTTTGGGTGGGCAACTATGGCCCCTTTATGACCTGTAAGCTTCAACTCCTAGAATTCCTGAGCCAGCCATAAAGAGGCCATGGTTGCCCACCCTGATCTAGATTCTTATGGTTCCTCATAGAGGGAAGGCACTATTCAGATTGATTATAAAATGGATTTTTCCATCAGAAACTCTAATTTCATCCCTGCTTTATCTTGGTTTTCCCAAGTACATCCATCATCGTCTGATCCATCTCACTCCAGCGGACTACGATGACTTTGTGAATGCCATTCGCAGCGCCCGAAGCGCCTTCTGCCTGACTCCTATGGGCATGATGCAGTTCAATGACATCCTTCAGAATCTGAAACGCAGCAAACAGACCAAGGATCTGTGGCAACGGGTCTCTCTGGAAATGACTACCTTTTCACCCTGATGCCCCATCTTGCATCCTTCCTTATGGGATCTTTTTAATTTTAGCTATTGGAAACCACTGATTCAATGTATTTCTACCATGACATTCCTCATCCATGTGGCTGTGGCTGTGTTCTACTTCCCTTTCTCTCCTCCCCAGCAAGTGAAGGCAAGGAAACTGTGTGCATGTGTGTGTGGGTGCGTGCGTGTGTGGGTGTGGGTGAGAGAGGGGGGGGAGCTGGTTGATCATTGGTCAACAGTTTTAGTCTTTTTCCTGTATAGGGATGTCTTTATAAATGAACATCATTTCTGCCTTTCTCTCTCTCTTACTGGGTGTGTATGCATGCATGTTAGGGGTAGGATCAAGCCTGTTTCTTTATAATATTTATTTTGGCATTTATAAATATGTATACTACTTTCTATATGGTTCTTAAAATTTCAGCCGTTACCGGGCCAGGAGAAACAGAGTTTGTTTCTGCTCATCCAGGTTTTCTCCAACACTGTTCCTTCCTTCTTCCTGCCACAGCAGGTCCCTCATCCAGTACAGCTTACCTGTTTGGATGGGCAAAGACACCACTGGAAGCATCTGGCCTCAGCAAGTACAGAACTGGCTGGTACGATTTCTTTGCTCTTAGATAGTGATCTGAGGGCCTCCTCATCAGACGACATAGGATATTCTACCCCAAATGGCTCCAAGTTGTACAGTCATGTTCCTTTGGATGAGATGTTAGCTCTCCTGTAATCAGTTTCTTACTCCTTGTTTCAGTTTCCCGATTAAAGCCCTCATTTTCTTAGACTGACTCTTCTCCATATTTCTGTTTATCATGCTGACATCATAAAACAAAGAACTAAGAGTGCCTTAGAGTAGGAAGTTCTAACCTATTTTTGCAAAGGACTGAAAAAGTACCGAAACCTGGTCTTGTCCCAACGACCTTTGAACCACACAACCTCTCGCCACAAAGTAATAAGGAAACTTGGTCTTAAAGATAAGGAAGATTCTCCTGCTAGTCCACAAGCAACTGATATTCAGGCATGTATTGCCCTGAAACTGGAGGTCACTTTTCAGCTTTCATGGTTAATGGCTTTTGCTAGACACACATATATTATTAAATGCCCGCAACTTCATCTGGTGATAGTTAATCCAGTAAACTTGGTTATGCATTTTGTGAACACCAAATTTTGCCTGACTTCAATTTTTGTCAATCACTTTCCCTGGTTCAGCCTAGCTTGGGGAAAGGCAAGATTTATTTACTTCATCCAGCTCATGTGGATTTTGTTAACCTTAAATTTCCTCATAGTTGTGTCTTACTGATGTGAACTAGTCGATTATTAAATATATGGGGACTAATCATACTAACTATTTAATTAAATAGTTTAAATTTACATTTAAATAAAGTTAAATGAAATTTAATGTGTCTCGGCCTCGGCCACTTTTTAGCCCTCAATCTGAAAAAAGTTGTGTGCTAGTAATGTTGGACTTCCTCTGATTAATTCTCAGCATTCTTTATATTACATGATGCTAGTGTTTCATACTGTTTTTCACTAACTAAATGGGGAAATAAACTTTGCATCCTGAAACTTGTTGGTTTCTTCCTCAGCTGTCATCTCTCTGCCAAATGGTTCTGATTTGTTTTCATCATGCAATAGTCGGCCATTGCTGACTTACTTTAAATGTGACTGTTCTATTGAAACAACAGTGTCTGATCTCAGTTCTTTAGTCCAGTCATCGTATTGTTTAATGTCAGCCTGCAAAAAGTCTCCCAAAATTTTCCCGCCAGCATACTGGGAGTTGAAGTTCTCAGATTTCAAAGCTGCTGAGGTTGAAAAACACTGTTTTAGTACAATGTACTTGCTGGCAGGTGGGGTGGAAGGCCTTTGAAAGTGCAAGTCAAGACCTGCTGTGAAGATGAGATCCATGAACCAACACAGAGTGCATAATCTACTCTGAGGCTTGCATTTGCCTTGAGCATCTGATATGCACTGCAAAAGCAGGCAGGATTAACAATTCCAAAGTCAGTTTGTGTCCTGATGTATTTCCCCAAAATACAATGTTAGAAAACCAATTTTTTAAAGTTTCCATTTCTTCAAAAGTACCATATTTTTTTTAAAAAATCACCCCCATTCCCAACTCTTCCCTTTTGGGTTTTGAAAAAATTACATAAATAAATGGCCCCTTAAAGGTGTTAATTAATTTCTTTGCCCTTGAAGGGGTTGTGGCAGTGGGACCAGAGGAGTTCTTTGGAAATTTCTCTATGTAGAGAACAAAGGGAGGTGAAGGAAGCTGTCTGTGACTGGCACAGAAAGAGAAGAATGAAAAAGCCAGGAATAAACTAGAGGGCAAGAAGGCAGGGTGGGCTTTTGCAATAGAGTAGGAGGCCAGGGGGATTGCCAGGAAGGCTGAAGGCCAGTGGTTGGTGATGGGCTGATTTGGTTCCATGAGAGTCCCATTTTGGAATTAGTCCTTTCGGAATTAGTTTGGAATTATATGTTAGTGCAGTGTAGTTATCCCACATTCCTCTCTTTCCTACATGGTCCTTATTCAGGCTAATTCCTTGAAAGGTTTATAATACTACTGCATTAGACATAATTGATGTTAATTGTGGAACTTGTGCATATGGCAGAAAAGACTTAACTGAGGCATCCCCACCTTAAGGCCTTTCCTACCCAAGGAATGGTGCCAAAGCTGCCATCTTAATAAAGTTTATATTTACACTTACTTTGCAAGTTGACAGAATACAGTAATTAAATGAGTCATTTCTATTTCAAATAAACCCTATACAATTAAAATTAGATAATTGGAGCAATTGGTCCATGTTAAAATTTACAGACAGTAAAAATGTAGCCACATTCAAAGATATAATTATTATAGTAGTCTAATAGAAGAAGTAACCACATGGAATAAATCAGAATTGCTGGGTAGGGAGTCACAAAGCAGGTCCTGTGTCTTTATAGAAAGCTCAAAGTAACAGAACTTGAGTAGCACCTTCTCCACAAAGGCAATTTAATTTGTACTGTGAGCTATTTTTTTTGTATTTGCCATTGAGAACAGCTATAAGTGGTTAGGATGCAGTATTGCAGGCTAATTCTGCAGCCAGTCGGCAGCCAGCTGCTTGAGTCTCACCAGCTCAAGGTTGAATCTGCCTTCCATCCTTCCAAGGCTGGTAAAATGAGGACCCAGATTGTTGGGGGCAGTATGCTGACTGTAAATCACTTAGAGATGGCTGTGAAGCAGTATATAAGTCTAAAGTGCTATTGCTATTGGGAGGATGTGGATAGTCTAATGTTACTGCTGTTTGGATTTTAAGGACAGTTATTTAATTTAAATACCTTGCCAGTCTAACGAAGGGGTTTGAATAAACACATTTAACCAAATAAAGCTTTAATGATGGGGTGTGCACTATCCCTGGCAAAGGTGGGAGGGTTATGTAACTGAAACTAATTTTTGTGCATTTTGGATTGTGTTGCATTTGAGCTATGAAAAAGCATAGGCAGGTATTTGAAGATTTTGAATCACTATATTGTCTACCATCTGGTTGCCAGGTAAGCACTTTAGACCACTTTGCTAACACCAAGGTCTTAATTTTAACTTAGTTTATCTCAAGTACTTCCTTTGAGTGGCTGGAGTGCTTTGAGCTCATTTTGGTCTGATTGATGTTTATGACAGAAGCATTAGCTCCTTGATTGCAGTATGCCTACGTATTGAAGGAGGCGGTGGTGAGGCCTCTCCTTAAGAAGCCTTCCCTGGACCCGGCAGTATTGGCTAATTATCGTCCAGTCTCCAACCTTCGCTTTATGCAAAGGTTGTTGAGAGTGTAGTTGCGCGACAGCTTCCCCAGTACCTGGATGAAACGTCGTATCTAGATCCGTTCCAGTTGGGTTTCAGGCCTGGGTACAGCACGGAAACGGCATTGGTCGCGTTGGTTGATAATCTCTGGAGGGCTCGGGACAGGGGTTGCTCCTCTGTCTTGGTCCTGTTAGATCTCTCAGCAGCTTTTGATACCATCGACCATGGTATCATGCTGCACTGGTTGGAAGAGTTGGGGGTGGGAGGCACCATACTACAGTGGTTCTCCTCCTTTCTCTCCGACCGGTCGCAGTCTGTGTTGACAGGTGGGCAGAGGTCGACCCCGAGGCCCCTCATATGTGGGGTGCCGCAGGGATCGGTCCTCTCGCCCCTTTTGTTCAACATTTATGTGAAGCCGCTGGGCGAGATCATCCGTGGTTTCTGGGTGAAGTACCATCAGTATGCTGACGACACCCAGCTGTACATCTCCACCCCGGACCACCCCAACGATGCCCTTGAAGTGATGTCCCGGTGCCTGGAGGCCGTACAGATCTGGATGGGGAGGAACAGGCTTCGGCTCAACCCATCCAAGACTGAGTGGCTGTGGTTTCCGACGTCCCGATATAGTCAGCTAGTGCCATCGCTGACTATTGGGGGCGAATCATTGGCCCCCACGGAAAGGGCTCGCAACTTGGGTGTCCTCCTGGATTCACGGCTGTCCTTAGAAGAGCACTTGATGGCCGTGACTGGGAGGATTTTTCATCAGGTCCGCCTGATCCGCCAGTTGTGTCCCTTTCTAGATTGGGACTCCCTACACACAGTCACTCATGCCCTTGTCACCTCTCGTCTGGACTATTGTAACGCTTTCTACATGGGGCTCCCCTTGAGGTGCACTCGGAGGCTCCAACTGGCGCAGAGTGCGGCCGCGCAGGTGGTTATGGGAGCAACGTGGAGCTCCCGTGTAACACCTCTCCTGCCTGAGCTGCACTGGCTCCCGGTGGTCTTCCGAGTGCGCTTCAAGGTTCTGGTTATCACCATGGCTTAGGATCTGGTTATCTACGGGACCGCCTGCTACCACCAATAGCCTCCCACTGGCCAGTACGCTCCCATAGAGAGGGGCTCCTCCGGGTGCTGTCGGCCAAACAATGTCGACTGGCGGCCCCTAGGGGGAGAGCCTTCTCTGTGGGGGCACCTACGATCGGGAACGAGCTCCCCCCGGAGATACAGAGGATCCCGGATCTGCGCACCTTCCGTCGTGCGCTTAAAACTTTATTTCATCAAGTTGGCCTGGCCTAGATGATCTCCCCTTTTAAATATAAATTTTAAATACAAATTTTAATCTGTTTAAATTATGGGGTATTTTAAATTCAGCCAAATTATTTAATTCGTTTTTAATCTATTTTAAATTTTTGTATTTCTGTGTTTTATCCTCTGGCTGTTCACCGCCCTGAGTCCTTCGGGAGAAGGGCGGTATAGAAATTTAATAAAATAAATAAATAAATAATAAATTGGGATGATGCGCTAAGGAACTTTCTTCAGCCACAAGAGGGTTGCTATTCCAACTGAAAATGGGGGACTAAAATATTGCTGTCACTAGGGATTTTTTTCAGTGGTCTTGCATTCTACAACATACCTTATTCTTGTTAAGTTTGTGCATTAACAGAAATTGTTGTCTATTGTGTTTTTTATTCCATTGTTTTAGAAATGAGATCAAATACCAATTTGAAGTAAAAAAAAATGACACAGAGCTTGGTTAATAAATAAGCCCCAAAGTATCCTAGATCTTGGCTTGGACCAATACTTTTTTCTGGCCAGGAGCTTCACTGGAATATCCAGCATTAACTACTCTATTCATCTGACAGAATATGCTCTAAATCAGTGGTCACCAACCGGTGGTCTGCGGACCACTAATGGTCTGTGAGAAAATTTTGGTGTTCCGCGGAGAAATTTTTGTATTTTTGCATTTTTTTTTTGCACTCACCCTCAAATTATGGCCCCTGGGCCAGATATGGCCCCGGAGAGCAATTAATCCAGCCCGCGCGTGGGAACACATGGCTGCACTGCCCACATCAGCCCACCCACACACCAGCCCCACTCTTAAGGCCGAGTGCAAACCTCACTTTGAGTACAGCAGTGTGAATCACACAAGTTGGAACTGGAAGGTAAAACCAAGAGTCGAACGGCTGCCAGAGGTGGGACGTTCAGCCGTTTACATCTCTCCTGCAAGGCCTCTGGGTGGGACTGTAGTAGTCACAGGACTGGCCCGTTGGTCACCCTGAAGCACCTCCTCCACCCGGGTGCACCGGCCTGCTGGGGAGCTGCCTGCTCCCCAGCAGGCCGGTGCACCCGGGTGGAGGAGCTACTTCGGGATGACCAATGAGCCAGTCCTATGAGTGAGACTATTACAGCTCTGGAATATGGGACAGGCCGTGGCGGAGCTGGAAATCTCTACCCTGGGGTGGCATGTGCAATGCGCAAAAATGAGGACAGCCCTTGCCATCCAAAATTAAAGGTCCTGTTGCGGTGGTGGGGGAGAGGGAGAGGGCTGCGTAAGTGGGCTGAAGCAGTGGTTGCGGTACCTGGAAGCTGCGGGAGCAAAGTACTACTTTTGTGCGGCAACAGCATTCCACCTCTTTATATTTGCGCCAGCCGGTGGCGCAAGTCAGCCCTCGTCTCCTACCGCTTAGGACTCGGAGTGGTAAACAGCATCTGGTCTAGTGAGAAGCTGGATTTTGCTCTCCATTATGGACGCCAGATCCACCCCCTGAAAGTTCTCGTCTCTTGAGCACTTGCTTGAAGCAGCACGGGAAACTTTGGCCGGGCTTCTCGAGAGACAAGAGCTTGCAGGGGGCTGATCTCACTCCGCAATGGAGAGCAAAATCCGGCTGCTCTCCGAACCAAACGCTGTTTACCGTTCCAAGTCCCAAGTGGCAGGAAACGAGGGCTGCCTTGCGCCGCAAATATACCAAGGCGAATGCTCATGCCACGCAAGTTCAAGTAGTGCTTCGCTCCCACACTTCTTCCGGCCCTTGTTGGTGCTCCGCGCACCTCAGTCTCTCAGGGAGATGCTTGACTTCCTCTCAGCCCCAAGACACTGGCTGGCCCATGAGGTGAGAAAGAGAGAATGAGAGAGAGAGAGAGAGAAAGAAAGAGAATCAGAATGAGACAGAGACAGAAAGAGAGAAAGAATGAAAGAGAGAAAGACAGAATGAGAAGGAGAACGACAAAGAATCAGAGAGAGAGAGAATGAGAAGACAGAAAGAGAATGAAAGAATCAGAATCAGAGAAAGACAAAGACAAAATGAAAGAATCTGAGAATCAGAATGAGAGGGAAGAGAGAATTAGAGAGTGGGGGAAAGAGAAAGTGGGGGAGAGAAAGTCGGAGGGAGGGAGAATGAGAAAGGGGGAGAGAAAGAAAGAGAGAAAGGGGGGGCAGGAGAAAGAATGAGAAAGAGTGGGGGAGGGAGAGTGCCTGAAGAACCCCATCCCGTCACTTCAGCAAGCGGCATGCTAGATTCATATTAGTGGTCCGCGAAATTTAAAATTATGAACTTGGTGGTCCCTGAGGTCCAAAAGGTTGGGGACCCCTGCTCTAAATTAACCCAATTACAGTTGATAATTTCTTATGTACATGTTTGACATAAAATGTATTAGGCTGAAGAAGCTTATGGGACAGTAGGCAGATCTTGGTTGCCCTTTTTGTTGCCTTAAATTCCAGTATTTAGTATTTGTATATCATGATTGCTGAAGATCACTGATTTTATCACAAGATAAAATCACTGCCTTCCGGTTTTTCCAGTCTTAAATTGTATAAAACCCATTAGATTAGGAACCCAACAACACCCAGATATGATCATTCTCCCCCATAATGACCACCTTGATATCTGTCCAAAAGACCGTGTTCAAAAGTTCTACCATGTTTCCTTCAAATGGTATAATCATTATTAAGCCATTATTTTACAGTTGCTATATTGTAATACTTCTAATGGTTCTTGAAGGCAAAGTTTTGTCTTTAATATATTTCGCTGCTGTATTAGGCATTTATGTTCCAGTATTTAGTTCCTAATTTTATTGCACTCAACGATTAATAGATTTACACAGGCATCTATCAGAGGGCATGATGGGCAGCAATGATTTTGGCCTATGGAAGAAGAGTCCTTCATTGAGAACTACCATTGAGAACTATCAAATTGGCACTTTTCTCAAACATGAAGTCTGTGCTGGCATTAGACGGAATGGGGAAGAATTCCATGCACCTTGTCAAGTTGAGGAAACCCGGGGGGGAAAAAAAATAAGGGAATCATAATTTTATTCCACTCAACATTTAATAGATCTATGCAGGCATTTGCAATTTGTTTCTTTGTGTTTCTTCCAAAACCCTCCGGTAGCCTATTAGAAGTTTTAACAAAACTTTATTCAAAGCTTTTCAAGCCGAAGGTAAGTTTGCCTTCTGAAATGTAATAGTGGTGATTTCAGTATCTTGGCCAACTAGGCAAAGATCCTATGAATGGATCTTTATCTAATTTTGTATAGAGATAAAAATTATGCCAGTGGAAAAGAATATATGTCAGTTGAACTATGCAGTCCTTACTGCTCTTAGAGCTTGGTTGTTTGCTTGCAGATATTTCATTAACTGGCTAGGCAGTTAATCAATGCTAGTGAGCGTGGGGTTTACATACAGTAAGATAAAGTTGATGTTAAAGAAGGAAATGAACAGACCATCCTTTCCAGCAGCCAACACCCAGATAAGCAGGAATTAACACCAGGCAAACAAGCAAGCAAGCAAGCAGAAAACAATAATTAAGGAACTACCAAGGAGAAAGCCACACTCCCACCAATACCGGCAGGGCAAGCTACTGTATAAGGACCAAACCTTACATTCCCTAGCACTGATTATGTCTAGCTGGGTAATGAAACGTCTGTAAGCAACTCAGCAAGCAAGCTCAGGGAGCACCAAGGACTCCATAAAATTATCCACTACACTACACTCTTTCAACCTATATGTTGTGCAGATGTTTGTTTGCCACAAAACCTCACTGTCTTAAATCCAGTACTGAATTAAGTTTCTGCCATATATTGCCTGACTACCCTTTTCCATAGATAGGCCCAATCCTTTCCCTTAAAGCCTTGAAACTGTTCGTCTTGTCCTACATAGGGAAAATAAGATTTCCCAGGCTGTCCTGATTAAGTAATCAAAATAGATAGCAAGTGGTATCTGCTTTTTTTACACTGCTAGTTGGCTCTGCCAAATTTCCAAGGAACATACTTCTCCGGAACATCTGCAAAATATCTCTCATCCAAACTAACCACATTAATAATAATTAAGCATGACTGCATAGATGTCAAGTCCAGAGCAGAGCTGCGGTACTAGAATTCTACCTGACCACCAGGCTCCTACGGGTAAGCTTTTTATTTGTCATCAGTCTGAGGCCCAAAGATCACAAATAGCTTGCCAGTAACAGTAACTATTCAAGCAGTTATTCTGTTTAAATCCCATTACAAAAATCCTGTTCTCAGAACTAGAATTTATATATGTCTGAATGCAGCTGCTTTCTCTGTGAATGATAGAATGGGAACATTGGAAGAATGCTCAGCACTTTCTCTAGGCATTTGAAGCAGGGGTGAAATCCTACAGGTTTGGACCAGTTCGGGCAAACCGCTAGGGATTATTGGCATCAGTTCGCCAAACCGGTAGTAATCACCCCTCGTTGGCCCCACCCACATCTGGTTGGTCACCGCTCACCTCTTCCAGCCGCTCGATATGCCACAGAATTCAATGTTAAATGCAGCAGAGAGAATGCTAATTTTTCTCCCTCCATTCAGAAAGGAGCTGCTGCAGCCTGTCCCTTTAAGGTAATCCCCAGGAGGGAGGGGGATGGGGGGGAGCAGCTGGAACGGGGCCATGTTTTTGTGAAAGGCTCCTGCCTTTCATGGGGAAGGGGATTTTCCTGCCTGCCATCCATTCCTCAATCTCAGCACAGACTGAGGGAAGGATAGTAGGCAGGAATATTCTCCCCATTTTCCTGCCATTCGTGACAAGGAGTGGCTGGGAGGGGAGGGGCCGGTGAGCCCCTCAATATGATATCGAGTTGGCCATGCCCACCCAGTCACATGACCTCCCCCAATAAGCCACGCCCACAGAACCGGTGGGGAAAATTTTTTAATTTCACCACTGATTTGAAGTTGTGTACAGAAGGAAGGAGCAATCCAGGTCACTGTAAAGTGCAAGTTAAGTGTTCCAAGTCAGTTCCTAAAAGCAGCACAATGGTGGAATCTAGAAATGAGATGGGCTGGGTCTCTTCCAACCCTGAAATCTACATTTGTTTCCATATATGATTTGCTGCTGCAAATATGGGGAACTGTCTAGCACAGACCACAAACTCCTACCTCCTGTTATTTTTACAATAATATTAAATAGAAATCATTTATCTTTGTGGATTCATCATCAATTGACTAGGGCAGTGGTCCCCAACCTTTTTATCGCCGCGGCCCACTGAGCGCGCGCAGGGGTGGGGGCACGGCCCAGGAGCTTTTGCGCACGGCCCATTGCGCACGGCCCAGGAGCCTTTGCGCTGCAGCGTTCATGTCCCCCGGCCGCTGCGCGGCCTGGTGCCAGGTACTCCACGGCCCGGCACCGGTCCGCGGACCGGGGGTTGGGGACCACTGGACTAGGGCATTCCAATTAACATTTATACTAGCCATTCTGGAAATGTCTTATTCCTTTGAAAAGAGCTGTGCAGTGCCTTGGAGTGAATGGCAAAAAGGCATCAGGACATGCAGCTCTTTCAGCCAGCCATCTCCTTTCCCAGAAATGCTCAGCCGCCCTCTGTGGCTGTAGGCCAATCCCAGGAAAAGGCCTACATTGTTTAAGTGTGGTTTTGAGCTGTCTGTGACTCCTAAGTGCTGAACACAACATAGACTTGGCCTCTTTTGTGATTAGTTTTACACCCAATTTTTCTCCTGTGAAGTTCATGGACTTGAGCTGAATACTGTGTGTACCTTTCCTCCTCTAATGCGCCCTTGACCTTCCACTTCACTCCTTGTTTAGAAGTTTCTTCTCTTGGAATTCACATGGGCATCGCGGTAGGTGCTTAAGCTTTGAATCTCTTAGCAGATCCCAATCAGGCTTAAAAGTCCTTACAGTGTCTGCCACTTCCAATTAGCCTCATGTTTCTCCTCCAGAAAATACAGTTTCTTATGTTATTGATCAGATTTTTTTGAGATTATCTAGTCTTAAGTGTTACTGTTTTCTAGTGTCATTTTAATAACTAAATCAGGTTCTTACAATCCAATGTAGAGAGATCTCCATTGCTGCATGTATAATCAGAGCTATTCGGTCAGGAAAAAGGTTAGCACAACTTGAAAATCTACATCTAACAAGAAATAAAGCAGTTCATTTATTGATCCAAATGCTATGTCTAATTTTTATTTAGACATTGTGCTCAGCTGCAAGAGCCAAGAATTTATTTGTATCATTCAATGTGAATGACAATATACATGAATCCAGTGCAGGAAGAACAGCACTTTTTCCCCCTTTCTTTCTTCAGCCACAGGGTTTTAGGTTGGTGGGTTACATTTTTGGTTACACAACATTTCCCGCTGCTTGGGGACACATTGAATGAGATATTATAAAGTCCATATTATATATTTACAGACAATGGTAAATTCACAATTAAAAATGCACAACAACTAAGGCTCAATGCGAAAGCTTGGTTGAAATCACTTTCTTCCCTGGTTCAATGAACGCACCGAGTTACAGATGTTGCCCCAAGGTGTCTCCCTGTCTAAGTCTGCCTATTTCCAGTGAGCTCAGCACTGGTTTTCTTAGGAGTTGCTGGGCCGCTGTACATAAGGCATGTTTGAGAGATGGGCAAGGAACTGCTTTGTACTCCAAGAGACTGTGGTAGCAAGGCAGAAGATAAGACAGGAATAGGTTCTACAAGGAAACTGGAGACTCACTTGAGGCAAAGTGACAAGTTTTGTACCAATTCTGTTCCCTCTCAATCATAATCTCCTTGCTGTGCTCAAAAAGGAATGAAAGGCGACGACTAACAACTAAATGCAGAAGAAAAATCCATGCAGCGGGCATCAGAGGACAACTTTTCATCCCAGATGAAGATACGTTTCTTGCAGCAGCTGAAAAGAACCCATTGGATTTCTCTCCATCTTATACTTGTCACAAACCACTTTCTGTCTGAGAATGTCTGTACCATTCTAGTGACGTCACCTATTTTGCTTCCCTGACCCCTGGGGTAGAAACAATGAAACAACTAAAATGGAATTAAGAAAATGCCACTGGGTGTCTATGACTAAGAATTTTGGAAACACCACCCTATACGTAACAGAGCTGTCACAAATAGTAAGACATTCACTTGCTAGTTTCCTGAGCATTTCGGACATTAACAAGAAATGTCACAGTAGCCTACACATTTGCATGCTTCTGCTCCTTGGAGATGCTGTTTTCAGCTTCCTTGCATCTGGGAATTACAGGCTACACACATTCCTATGTTATTTACCATAGAATTTGGGAACAGTGGGCAACTACCGCACAGTATCTTGTGCAATTATGGTCTGAAGGTTTCTCTCAGCTGCATCAAACCATAAATAGTTGAAGGTGCATGGTTCGCCCACAGATGGCACGCTTCCTCCTCCCTCTCTGGGTGATTCAAAAAAGTTGGCAGTGGTGTGTGTATGTGTGTGCGCACGCACATATGTGTCCTTCCCGAGGGCTCCCTCTTGAGTTTGTTTGGCAGTCTTGCTCGTGGAGATCTGGGCTTCAGCTCCAGCTCGAATTCTGCAGCTCCTCCCTGAGCCACGTGGGGAGAGGCTGCCTGACCGTATTCAGCAACTTGGATAATTCAATGTTGTGCTCATGGTAGAAATCTGCCAGGAACATGCGGGACTGCAGGGGTCCCAAAAAGAGAGAACCCGTTAATGAAAGGCCGCTGACAATTCTTTTTTTTCTCTCAATTATAACAGACATGCAGGAGTTCTCTGTAGCTTACCGAGGAATCCATCTCTGGATATTTTCTCCCTTTACTCTTCCCCAGGCATTTAGTCTTTCCTCCATCAAGCAGCTGGCACCAAAATCCCTTTGTGTCATCATACCTGAAAGGGGAACTTACTTTATACAGTCCTTTTATACACCTGTGCTTTAATCTAGAGTGCTATGAAGGTAAATACCTTCCTAATTTTCCTTTTCTTTCAGTGCCAAAAAAATGATCTGTTTGGGCAATGCTATCTCTCAGACAAAAGCCATCACCAGCTTTATATTACTGGAAGTAACATGAAACACAACTACATTTCAGGCTGGCTCTGTCTCCCTCTAGATAATCTGTGTCTTTGTGGGTCGAGGATGATCTGAATCTGGTACGGGAGGGAGTCCTTGGCAGAGCTGGTGGGCTTTCCAAGGCAAGGCATCCCCTTTGGCAGGAAGCTCTGCGAGATCTAACCTGATCACTGCCTATGGAGCCAGAGGGAAGAAGTCCCTCCTGGGCATCCTGGCTCTCTACAGGAATCCTCTTAGGCTCTTCATCCTTGGTACAGTTTACTTATTGAAATTAATTTCTGCATCCTTGTTGTCCTTTTCATGGCAGCTCAAATAAAAGCAACAAAGCAAAAGCAACAATTTCAGATGAATGAAAACAGCAGGAAAGGCAGATGAAAGTGGTGTCGGCAACCCAGAACGTAACAAGGGCAGCAATACATAAACCTCTGCATTTTTATTTTTTTTTAAATTTGATTTATATGCCGCCCTTCTCCGGAGACTCAGGGCGGCTTACAATGCGCTAAGCAATAGCCTTCATTCTTTTGTATATTTATACAAAGTCAGCTTATTGCTCCCACAAACTGGGTCCTCAATTTACCTACCTTAGAAAGGATGGAAGGCTGAGTCAACCTTGAGTCTGGCGAGATTCGAACCTGCAGTAATTGCAGGCATCTGGTCTTAATAACCAGCTTAATAACAGGGTGCCTTAGACCACTGTACTACCAAGGCATTTATGCTAGCAAGAATTGCATCGGGATGGGTAGCCTCTACCTCCTTTCTTGGTGCCAGCTAGCCTGCCCAACTTGTCTTTTTTGTTCCCTTGAATTAAAATAAATGGGAACTTCATGCTGCAAAATAAGGGGACAAAATAAGAGGACTCTTGAGCCCCAGAGGCATTCTTGAAAAATAAATGTGTCGGTGTGTCTAGAAGTTGAGCTGTGGCAACTGGACTTATTTTCTTGGTTTGAGACATTTTGCTACCCATCCAAGTAGCTTCTTCAGTCAGAACAAGTCTGCAATTTGGGAAAGAAACCCTGGGGTGCGAATGGCCCTAGGAATGTTAGGAGTTGGTACATTCCAAGGACTTTCTGCCTACTCAGGTCCCCCTAACCAATTTGTTCAGAGTGAAGAAGCTGCTTGGATGGGCAACAAAGCATCTCAAACCAATAATAAGCCCAGTTGTCATAACTCAAGTTGCAAACAACTCTACTTATCCAAATAGACTGAGAATCTTCACTGACATGAGGGGTGTGTGTGTGCACTTGCCTAAGAGGGGAGAAAAAGGCCAAATGGGGGAATGGACTGGTGAGCCAGCAGGATTAATGCAGACACAGCTCACTCTCTATTCTCTGGAAAAGCCCCTTTTTATGCCTGGCCCTCCCTCCAGCCCCTGCCCACCTTTTGCTCTCCAGGCAAGAGCTCCAAGGCAGCAGTTGGGAGAAGAGAACCTCTCCGTACCACCCTTTCAAAATTCACAGCATGTCCATTGGCCTGAAAAGACTCTCAGCTTCCTCTATGCAGACACTGACTGAAAATAGACTGAATTTTAAGAAAATGCCTTTCAAGACTGTAATCACAGAGATTATTATTTTTATTCAGTAGGTCCCCTTTAACAGTACACTAAAGCTTGATTCAGCGATAAGGAATCCCCAGAAGATGGCAACAAGCTCGGATGCTGTTGTTTAACTGCCACCATCCTATGCCATCAAACCTGGTTTGAAGGGACTATAAAGATGGCAGTGAGTTGTCTGCCAGGCCTTGGCAAACAAGCCAAGACTGACTGAAGTGGGAGCAATTAACAAGCTCCTGGGCTTCACATCCTCACTTTCTCATTATGTGGAAATGGGAAGTGTGATAAAACAAAGCAGAAATTCTATGAATCTAGAGAAAGAAAGGGGAGGGATTGCCTGACCTCATTTAATACTTTGTTGGCCTAAAAATGCTGTGTTCAAATCAGGTCATACAGGGAAATTAGCTTATAAGTAGCTGTCACACAAATGCATACGTTTTTACAAAGATTTCAAGACAAAAGTGCCTCCATGCAAACGGAGAATCCTTACTTTAGTGCTTGTGTGTAGTTGAGCAGTGGTGTAATTCCCAGAAACCGTTGAATGCTGTCCATAATGGGGGAGGGGCTGTGTCGAAGCTCCTGCCCATCAACTACCAGAATCTAAATGGAAAGAGAAATGGCCAAAGTTTTTGGTAAATCTAACCAATCTTTGCATCAATGAAAGAAACTTTTAGTACAATTTGTAATCCTACCAGACTGCGACCTTCAATAATCTTTACCTAAGTCCTAAGTAAATAAGGAGATTTGGATTTAAGTAACAACCCCAACACAAGGTCCTGTATTGTGCCTTTATTGAGCCCATTGAGCCAACACTTGCTGTGATTGTTGAAAAAAGATGTGAAGACATAGAAATTCCTTCAGTAGTAACGGCAGTAACCGTGGTACCTGTTGATCAATCTTGTATGCTAGCTTGAAAGTATTTTGGCTTTTTACTGAATTGCTTCAACTACTGATACTTTCGGGCTTCCTATATTGCAACTCTTGCAATGATTTCAAAGTCCTTCCCAGCTTCAGCAGGAGTGACATGAAGACTTTTTTGGAAGTTTGTGTAGGTCTCTTGATTGAGGCATGATTCCCTTTCACAAACCTGCATCAGGAAGAGAATGCGTGGGTGCATATTTCTTCACAAGGGAGGGAGCCTCAAGTATCCTACTAGCTGTAGTCTCATTGGCTGGAATAACCAGCTCAATTGATCCCTTCGGGAGAACAGGTTGTTGTTGGCCTTCGTAAGCTTTTTCCAACAGAAAAGTAATTTGGCTCAATGTGTTCAATAAAGACATGGCAAACTCTGGGAGTTATTTGTTTAATAAACTCACTGTATATTTTAATAGGACTTAAGTAAAGCATTCACAGCACTTCAGGATTAGGGATGGTTCAAAAGGGCTGACAATGTTCTCTCTACAGCAGGGGTCAGCAACCTGTGGCTCTGGAGCCGCATGTGGCTTTCATCCCTCTGCTGTGGCTTCCTGTCGCCGGTCGGCTCCACATAGGGATAGGGCTTTCGGTTAGGACAGGTAGAGGAAAAAGGAGGCCACGCTAGGAGGAGACTCTATGGTAGACTTCTGGTCGGCTCCAGAATTGAACGGGGGCTTCCGGTTAGGACCTTTGGTTGCTGACCCCTGCAATACAGCATATACTCAAAATCTCCCCAGAGACTTGTAGAGTATTTCTTTATGATGCATATCACTTTAATGATATTTCCTGAACATTATATATGATCAACATTATATAGCTGGACAGACATAGGAGATATTTCCTAATTATATCTGGTTACCAGATTATTACACTTTCTGTCCCCCCCCCCCCTTCTTGAAGGAGGTGGTTGAGAAATTCTTTTCTCTTTTATATATATAGTGATTCAGCTGGTAAGATAGAGTACAGAATTTTCTATAACCAGGGTTTGCATTAATGATGAATCTCAAAAGTTCAAGAAACTCTGCTTCTTCAAAGTTTCTTTCCACTCTGGGTGGAAATCTCTGAATCTCTGAAACCTAGAAAGCCAGCAAGTTTTTATTAGTGCACTATCTTAGTAGTTTTTATTCTTCTTGAATATCTCTTTGTGAGAGAGACCTTTTGTAAGTCTCACAAAGAGATATTCAAGAAGAATCCTGGTTTGCTTGTGCAAATGAAAGTTAATATATTTTGAAAAGGTTGCTCAGTATCAGTTTTAGGGTTCACTTAAATAGCCATCAAACATAAGCTAGATCTTGAAAAAAAAATTGTTGTACCTGTCCTGATGGAAAGTATGTTAGCCATCTCTCCAGATGTGTTGAATATAATCCAGGATTCAGACAACGACTCTGTAGATTGTGCAGCTCTTGAGGGGCCTGGGGTCCAGCAGAAATGGTCTGGTAAAAAGTGTAGTTAAGCGCCACAGGGTCATTGTGAGCACGTTGATGCTGCAAGTGTGAAAAATGAATTAAGAGCATAAAATTCTGCTTTTCCCAATTCAAAATACATAAAATTTCACCTATGCAGTCTGGCCTTTCTGAGTTACCTGATACCAAGAGTAGGCTCGGTCAGCAGGGTTGATAAGGACAGCAATGATTTTGGCCTGTGGAAGAAGAGCTGCACTTCGTTTAGGGACTACCTCGGTATCAAAGTAATTGGCACTTTTCTCAAACATGAAGTCTGTGCTGGCATTAGAAGGGATGGGGAAGAATTCCATGTACCTGTCAAGTTGAGGAAATCAGGAAAAAATATAAGGGAATAATAATGATGGGGATGGAGTTAATTAAAATTAAGAAATTTCTTACTATACACAAGAAACTTGCAGGCACTGTACACACAAACATTTGCATTGTTCTGGCAGCAGACTCTGTCCTCCCTCATGCTGGAGACGCCATGTTCTGATTCAATCTGGGATGCAATGAAGTCTGCCTTATGTGGAACGATACAAACACTAGCCTCTCTGAAGACTGTCTTGATCAATAACTCCAGTGTTTCTCAATCTGACTGGGGAAATTCTAGGAATTGAAATCCACACATCTTAAAATCATCAAGGTTGAGAAACACTAATCTGTAAATACAGATGGTTAAATTAACTGCTCTGATCAAAGAAAAGAATACATCCAGATTTGTTTCTACTTGGTAGCCACTTCTGAATTTTTGTGCTTGAGATGGAAAAAATTGAAACTTTGCTGATTAGGTAAGTTTGTGATTATAAAAATGGCTAGTACATGTTAAATATGTTAAAGTAAAAAGTTGAGGATGTAGTGTTTTATTCTACTGCACTAAAAAGATTCAGAAGTCAAGGCTTTCTTTTTTCCCCCTTTCCCCTACACTTCTTTCTTTTCTCTTTTTCTTTCTCTCTTTTCCCACTATTTTCATTTTCATTTTTGTTTAATAAAAGTTTAATGAGATTATTTTTTTTAAAGAAATGATGAAGGCAAATCAGCGACCAACACAAGCATCCTTGGACTAATTAAAAGTTAGCAATGTTATATAACATTTGAAGTTAACATTGTTTTATACAACTGGTTAAATGTTGGACAAGAATAAGCTGCTAGTATGAGGGAGAATCATGGAAATGCAACAGGATGTGGAGAATCTCGGCCCAGCTTTTTGACCAGGGTTAGAAAGTCCAAGCTAGGCAGGATCCAGAGGCTCTCAGAGACAATTCAGTAGGAATCCCAGCACGTACCAATCAATTCCTTTGTGATAGTTGGGTCCATTAAAGAACTGGATTTCTTCAAAGGTGGATGGGCTTGGGAAATTGCTAGTCACAGCTGGATGCATAGAGAGAAAGAAATGCACAGCAGTTGTTCCTGCAACAGAGAAACAAGAGCTTCATCAGGGTTATGTTGGGTTTACTTCAGCCATGAAATATCTGCTGGTTCCAAATAAGGTATTCCTAGTCCTAAGCAAGTAGTTGTTAAGTGAGTTGCACCCCATTTTATGACTCTTTTTGCCAGAGTTGTTAAGTGAATCATGCAGTTATTATGCAAACCTGGCTTCCCCCCTTGATTGGAAGCTAGCTGAGAAGATTACAGATGATGATCACATGACCCCAGGACAGTGCAACTGTCATAAATATATGCCAGATGCCATGCACCCAAATTTTGATTGCATAACCATGGGGATACTGCAACAGTCGTGAGAACTGATCATAAGCCACTTTTTTCAGTGCTGTTGTAACTTTGAACAATCACTAAACAAATGATTGTAAGTCAAGGACTGCTTGTATTTCTTTTCACTTATCCAATATAATGGAGTAAAGAATGCTGGTTTCTAATTTAAACTTCTTTTTGTACATTGATTAATCCCCCAATTTATTGAATTACACATCTATCTTAGTATCTCAGTTTGACAGGTCTAAAAGGAGTAGGGAATCTCAGTGTAGATTTGCCCCTCAAGACTAATTGACCTTCCCCTCTATGGTAAAATCCTCATTAAACTTTAAATCAGCAGAGGGGGAATGGCTCCTGTCACGAGGCTGCTGAACTAGAACAAGTGCCCCACTCTACATGGCCAGCAGTGAGGGATATGAGAAGGCAGAGTTTGGTGACATTCAGGCGGCCATAACTTTTCTACCTGCACTTTAAGGGGTACTAGGCTGACAAATGAAGATTGAAGATTGAAATCACAAAATGGAGACTCACAACCATTATACAAATGTCAAATTGTTAAGCAAGATGATGGGGATAAATGTTACCAGTTTTTTGAGGACCAATAATAAGGAACTTGGGAAGCCGGTCACATGTCTTCTCTTTTGACCAGATATCCTTATGCCGCTTGTCATCACAAGGGTTCTATGTCAAGAAAGACATCAAATATGAGATCATGTAGGAAATACACAACTTTATATACATTAAGTAAGTAAATTGTATGAGAAGGTCCCCAATTTAAGATGCGTTCTACCATTCGGAATGTGCTACTATGATATTTTTAAGAAAGGTGACAGAGCTGCCCCATCCAACTACCGACCCATCAGTCTTCTTAATATAATTTCAAAAATGTATACGAAACATCTCCTAAATAAAATAGAGGACTGGTGCTTGGATAAGGAAATTCTGGCAAATGAGCAGGCAGGTTTTAGATCAGGTAGGTCTACCATAGACAATTGTTTTGTCCTTTCCCACTTAATTAATAAATACAAGACCCAGGGGAAAAAGCTGTATACCGCCTTTATTGACCTTACTGCTGCTTTTGATTCTATAGATAGGAACCACTTGTGGAGGAAACTACAAGTTATGGGGATGGACCCCAGACTTATTTTGTTGATCAGGATTCTCTATACTAATACGGCAATTAGAGTCAGATATGCAGCAAATGGGGCCTCAACAAACAGCATACCGACAACTAGAGGAGTGAGGCAGGGCTGCCTGCTGGGCCCTACTCTTTTTAACCTTTATATAAATGATATCCCAGCGCAGCTGGATGATCTTCTGACGCACAGCCCCCAAATAGGCTCTAGATTTATTAACGTATTAATGTATGCCGATGACTTAGTGTTGTTTTCTAGAACCCAAATAGGAATGAGGAGACTTCTTGACAAGCTCACACGTTACTGTACTGCAAACCACTTGACTATAAATGTAGCTAAATCAAAAGTTTTAGTCTTCGGCAATAAGAATAAAAAGCACAATTGGCAGATTAATGACACAAAAATTGAGCAAGTTACCCAATTTACTTATCTTGGAATTGTTTTTTCCAGTGCAGGAGGTTGGACTCCGCACCATCAATACCTTTCTCAAAAGGTCAGAGCAGGAGCAAGCCTTGTATCCAAATTAAGTAAACGAATCCAACCAATCTCCATTTTACCTCTTCGTAAAGTCTTTCAGGCTAAACTTGTTCCGATCATGCTCTATGGTGCTGAAATTTGGGGTCTTACAGAGGCCCCCATATTAGAGAGAACTCAAAATAATTTGTTAAGGAGGATGCTTGGGGTAAACAATTCCACTTCAGCTGCAGCCGTCAGAGCTGAATTGGGACATTTCTCACTGTACACCTATACAATCACTAGGGCGGTAGCCTACTGGCTAAAAATGACCCAGATGGATGCCAGCAGACTCCCTAAAATATGTCTAGAGGAACAGCAGATTTCAAATCCTCAAAGGTATTCCTGGCTAACCCGGCTGTCAGAAATATTGAACCGATATGGCGTAGGGTTCCCGTTGTGTGACACACCGAACCAAGTTAAACAACGGATTAAAGATATACATGGGCAAATGGACATGGCAACCCTTTCAACTAATCATTCCCTTAAACTGCTGACAGCAGTTAAAACAACTTTCACTCTGGAAAAGTATTTACATTTAGAAATGCCATCAGTGGAGAGACATTTATTTGTTAAGTTTAGATTCGAACTTCTAGATACCAACGTTAGATTCGGCCGTTCTTGGAAAATCCCGTATGACAAAAGAATATGCATATGTGGGGTAAACATCGTGGAGGACACGGCGCATATAATATTCGAATGTAGTCTCTATCAAGAAGTAAGAAAACAATATCTGTCCCCAATTATAAATAAATTTCCCCACTGGAATATAAGCCAAAAATTAGCATTTCTGTTGAGGGCTGACTCTCCTCCCCTGGCAAGAGCGATCACTCGATACCTTAAAAGAATGACGGCAATACGAGCCAGTTATATCAAAAAAATTTTTTATCAATTGTAAGGAAGATGAGCTCAGTTAGAGAGGAGCTATCCTATTTGGGTTATCTAGTCTTGGCAACTTAGCTATTGAAATTTGATATTGTAAAATTTTAATGTCATCTATCATATATTTTTAGATTGCTATTTTTGTAACTGTTTTATCTTTTTCCCTTTTTCTTTTCTGTTTTGTTTGAAAAGGCCTTCGGGCTATTCAATAAACTATACTATACTATGATACTGGATGACCGTTCTACAAGAATACTGAGCCTTGGAGCAAATCTGTTTAATCACACATTTTTTTATAATGTTATGAAAACATTTAATATATCAAAACAGACAAAGTGTTTTTGAAAAGTTTATCTTTTGAAATCTGCACTTATTTTGAAATTTTGTTTGCTTGATTTTGCTCTTTTCCTAATAGGAAATTCAAGAGAAGTAATTTTTCCAATCTTTTCAACATTGGTCACATTCCCCTAGCATGTGCTTGGTTTTGCATGGCACATTTTAGGGAGGACACTGATATTAAAGCATGTTCAGAGAGCCACCAAGATGACAAGGGGCTTGCAAAAAAAAAAAGGTTGTGAGGAACAGTTGGTGCTATGGGTATCTTTAGTTTGGAAGACACCTGATAAACATCTTCAACCCTGAAGATCATTCAGAATTGTTCCAGGAGATAGAATAAAAAATGGTGGGTTCCAATTTTGGATACTTTTTGGGTAGGGGGGATTTTGGTTGAACAGCAAGAAATTGTAAGGGTTAGCATTCAACAATAGACCATTTGTTCATCTCGATACCCATTCCTGCTGGATACTCTCTCTCATATTCTACGATTTGGAGGAAAGGGGGTGCTAATCTGGTAGTATTGCAAGAATTTGAAATAGCTAAGGCAGGTGAAATTATCTTCATTCAAGGGTCATCTAGCTGGATTCTTAGCATAGCGTAACTTTTATAGTCAGTTTATGGGAGCAACTGATATTCAAAGACTTCAATTCCTTTATTATCTATTCTACCAAAGGACTGCTTAATTGCATATTATGCGAGGGAGTTTCCAGGAATAAAAGAAAGCTGCCCACCCGGGTAAACTCTCCAGATGAATTTCTAAAGATAGGTGTGCTAATAATCATCTCCACATTCCTCTTTCAAGGATTGATACAGATGTCATGATGTATTTTACAGGTTAATGTATAATCTGGACTGGTACATGAAGAAAAACAAAAACTGGTTTCAAGATTATCTTTCTGACTAAGAGGAAGGTCAAGTATGTGCTGCCAATCAGGAATGCCTCTCTTGACTTTGTTTTTGTCACTAAAACTTGCTTGTCAAAGGAGAGCTGCCCCCGACGTCTGTCCCAGCAGTTTCCAATTCTACAGTCCTACTTATGAATATCATTTTCTTTTCAAGATGACAGCCTCAGTTGTCTGTTGGGGGTTTGAAGCTAGATTACCCACCTGGACAACAATGAAAACAGGACCTGCCACTGAAAAAATTGTTGATTCACCAATGGCCCACCTTGCTTATACAGTGAAAGTACGTGCCGAAAATGGAATCAGAGTCAATTCAAAAATGTCAGACTTCTCTCAAAAATAAAAGTTTCCTATGTCCAGAAACAACCATAACTTTCCATATTTCCAGTTAATTCCAAAGGAATCAAAAGGAAAATGAAATGCAGGAACTTCTCTCTTGCAGCAAATAATAAAGATTCATTAAACTCTGAACTTTCTACTCTTGTATTAAGATCAAATCAAATCTTCAGCTGAAGTGTGATCAATGGGAGACATTGTTGGAAAATGCCCCCCCTCTCCCAAACAATGCTTCCTCACCTGCCACAGAGGGTTCTTTTCCTCTGAAAATATTTCAAAATACTTTTTGGCCAACTGGATTGGAGGCAAAGTCTGAATACGAAGATTGGTCCAGCACTGCACAAATTTGACAAGGCTTTCAAAAGTGTAGAGCCCAAGCCGGTCATTGCCGTAATTGGACAAGTGGGTCATGAAGATGCTGATCTACAAACAAGGAAGAAAATGGAAGCTTCCATTAGTACCAACAAACAAATGCACTTGGGCCCCATTGCTTGCTTTCTGCAGTTGCAGAATCAGCATACAATGTCCAAGATCCTAAGGTTTTTGTTCTTTCGTTTGTTTAGATTTGACCTATACAGTCATCCTTCCCACAGAAGAAAATATTTATATAAATAATTCCTGTGTCCCAGAATTTCTTGAGAAGATTTTAATTAATTCATCAGTTCCACAGTTCTTTTTTTTCTGAAAAGAAAGCCATCATATCTCTCAATATTTATATTGTTCTTTTTATTTGTTTATTACATTTCAAGAGCAAGGAACTTGGCAGTCTCCTTCTACTGCCATCACAAGTGCATGCTTACTGAAAGTCTAGTCTCCATCAGGGTGTCATAAGCCAACAAAATACCATTAGTTTCTAGAAATATGACCCCTGCATTTCTTCATCCGGCCCCCCCACCCCCACCCCCTGAATCTCACATGGAAAGACCTACCCAAGGATTTTATTTATAAATTAATCCTGATCTGTCTAAACAAATGTATTTTATTGTTGTGAGCCGCCCTGAGTCCTATGGAGATAGGGCGGCATATAAATAAAATAAAATAATAAAATAAAATAAAATAAAATAAAATAAAATAAAATAAAATAAAAAAAATAAAATAAAATAAAATAAAATAAAAAATAAAATAAAATAAAATAAAATAAAATAAAATAAAATAAAATAAAAAAATGTAACTGGAATGTCCTTTTAAGAATCCAATTACAGTATTGTTAAGACCGGTGTGTGCTCCATCTTTTCTAGAGTCTGGGAGGTGTGATGGGGAAGGGTATTGTCACTTAAACTTACTGGCATGTCCATCTCACATAATTAACTTTGAACCTGTTTTGTTGAGTCCCAATAAAAGACAAATATAATACTTCAAAGTACGAGAAAATCAAACCTACAACAATTAGTACCAACAGACTTCTGCACACCATAATTACTGTTAAGAACTTGGCAAAGTTTACTAGTTGCTCATGTTCAATCTTGCAATAGTAACTCTATAACCTCTTGGTCAATTTTCACAGTTCAAACAATTGTGGTTATGAGTGCCAGATGCTATAAGCAATACAATAGACAGTGAATGGTATCTTGACATCTGAACAACTCAAGTGTAGTTATCACATGGAAGACAAGTACTTCTATCCATTGTGACCACAATTTGAGCTAAAGTAAAGAACATGCTAGGAGAAACATGTAAGATGTTATGAAAAATCCCAGAGACTATCGGGGGGGGGGGGGGGGGGGCTGCAATTAATGGAACTTTAGCCCTGTCATTTTCAAGTCTGCACCCCAAGTTCAAGCAAGGCCTTATTAGGTGATATAACCTCTCTACCCTAATAAGGCCTTGGCTGAACTTGGGTGCAGACCTTGAAAATGTTTATATAGTTAGGAGTGAAAAGCCATGTAAGTCAGGTCAGAGTCAATTTGACTCATTTTACATAACATGCTGTGTTTCTGAGGTAAAACTCTCGTACAGAAAGTATAAACTATTCAACCTCATTTTAGTCTAGTATAGCATGTGGTCTAAACCAAGACTGTTCTATACCATTAGGCTGCCCTTCCCCTCCTTGTTGGTCAGTAGTGGAGGGGCACTGCAGAGATTGCTGGGTCTGAGAGGCCTTACCAAGGGAAAAGCACTCCGCTTCACCAAATGGGTCTGTTAACTCCAGTTGAATTGGAGGGAAGAGGGTTGCTAAGGACATCAGCCTTCTCTACAAACCCTTTGCAGGGTTCTTGCACTAAATGGTCCTCTCTGATGAATGGCTAGACAATCAGGAAGCCTTCAAGGGGGAAAAAGGAATAAGACAATCCACAGCCGCTAGAAGAGAATATTTTTAGCTCAGAGTTGAACTGCAGGGTCCTTGGTGCTCTCTGAGCTTGGTGGTTTTCTTGCAGATGTTTCATTACCGAAGTAGGTAACAATGTCAGTGCTAGCAGAGCGCATCCATGAACACCAACTAGCAGTCAGAAGACATGATGAAACTTAATTTCACAACACATGACAGACTTAACCTTAGTTTCAACTGGGAAACTGTGAACATCCTAGATGCCAAAAATGCCAGAGAATTCCTGGAATTCTAGCACTCAAGAGAAATTGGCTATCAACAGGCAAACAGAGTTAAACAACAACTACATACCATTCAAGTGACAATCAAAAAGACAAAAAGGAAATTAAAAGATCAAAACACCTCCTCACTGCAATCAACAACCAGACAAGCAGAGACTAACACCAAGATTAACACTAGATCAACAAATGAGAAGTAAACAATACCCCAATCAAGGAACTAGCAACTCAGACAAACAAACTAATATTCCCACCAACACTGGCAGAGCAAGCCACTAGAATATAAAATGAGAGCAAACCCCATTCCCTACTATAATGTCACCTAGTTTGGTAATGAAAAGTCTACAAGAAAACAACTAAGTTCAGAGAGCACCAAAGACCCTGTACAATCAATACCAGAATGATTCTGCATTTAAGTTTAAAAAAACCAAACCAAAAGAAATACAACTGCAATAAGTCTGCTGCAAAAAATATATATACTAGTCCTTATGGAAAGGAAATTTCCAAAAGCTTGTTATATATGCCTGAAACTCATTTCCCCGGAAGAATGTACAGCTCAAATGAATTTGGATGAAGGAAAAGCTGGATGGCTGCTTCCCTCAAAGACGATACAGCTGTGACTAAGACTAAGAGTCTTGGGTAGGTAGGTAGGTAGCCAGGAGATCTTGCAGACTGGAATTAACCTGCCTATGTCTCTCTATCACTGATTATAAGTTATTATATTTTATCATCAAGAGAGGCGAAACAAGCATAATATGTCTATCCCAAAGGTACTTTTTCAAAAGGCAACTGGACTTCCCTTGTTTTTCCTTGAAGATGTTTTGCTTCTCATCCAAGAAGTTTCTTCAAAACTGCTTTTTGGATGAGAAGTGAAACGTCTTCAAGGAAAAACAAAGGAAGGCCAGTTGCCTTTTGAAAAAGTACCTTTGGGATAGACATATTATGCTTGTTTCCCCTCTCTTGTTAATAAAACATTAATAATAGCTTTTTGAAAAAGCACCTTTAGGACACTCATGACTTGGATGGCTGAGAACATAGACATAGACATAGTATGCCTGCTCCATAGCTTTCCCATTAACCAGCTGAAAATTTTATCAGCTGAAGATACAAAGGGAACATAATCTTGATCTGGTCTGTGTGTCATGATGAAGAATTTGAACATGAGGAGTTTGTCAAAATCCTGTTGCTAACTATACTTTACCCCAGCCAAAAAGCTGAGAAGTTATATGGGGCAACTGAGACAGTGCAACCTGCCCTGTTGTGCTGCCCCTTATGTCATCCTAGCATTCTGATTTATTTTCTCTCCCTCTTAACCGCATGCACCCTGCAGAGGAGATCTCCATTTTTTAAATCCAATGGGCCAAGATGTATCCAGGACGATTTATTATTTTTTTTTCTCCTCAGTTGTGCTTGCTTGAAGGTCTACGTTTGAATGTTTGATTCAGTATTTTATCCTTTGGTTCTTTTTATCATCTCCATTTCTTGTTTGGGGTTTGTGGAATAAGGATCTCCTCCTGAAGCAGGAGACCTTTTTGGATCTGGCTTGGATATGACTATTCTACCTACTGCTGAACCTTAGAGAAACTTCATCTTTTCCTTGTCTTGCACACTAGTCCCAATACAATACATTCCTAATCCAGGGCTTCTTTCAGATGCCACAAGCATCCCCATGCTAATCAAAGCCTCTTTCCTCATTCAAATTTAAATTCCTGCACATCTTTTAATTTTTATCTTAACGGTATTTAATAGTTTTTGATAAATGATTTAAATACATTCCAGTGAAATTTAGATGTCAATCTTTTTTCCTTAGAGTCTGAAGATGGTCTGCTCTCAGAGACTCATAAAGTCAGTTGGGCCATGACACAATTGTCCCTAAGATCTCCTTCTGGCATTCCCAGAGCACATTCAAGTAGTTGGCCAACAGAATTATCTTTATTATTTAAGGGCTTCTAAAACTTAACCCAGGAAATGAAGGGGTGGAGCCCATAGATATCAGCTATAGCCAGCTGCAAGGTGATCTTGATGCCCTTCCTAATGAGCAGAAACTGATCCCTTGCAATAGATTCCAAGATGTTGGGGGTCTCATTTGGATGCTTTATCAACTGTATCCCCTAAAGTATCCAAATGAGGACCCCAATATCTTTGAATCTACTACAACTCATGAGAATGTCCATCATGATCACAGGAAGTTATAGTATTGCTCCATTCTGCATTAGCAAGGCCACATTTGGAACACTGCATTTGGCTCTGGTCATGACGATACAAAAAAGATCCTGAGGCCCCAGAAACGGTACACAGACGGACAATGAAGAGGATAAGGAATATGGAGCTAAATCATGACAAACGGCTATGTTTAGCCTAACGAAGAGAAGGCTTAGGGGAGACATGACAGCAGTCTTCCCGTACTTGAAAGTTTGTCACAGGGAAGAGGGGGCTGATTTAGTCTCCAAAGCACCTGAGGGCAGGACAAGAAAGTGGAAACTCGTCAGAGGGAAATCCAACTTGGAAATAAAGAGAAATTTCCTGACAGTAAGAATCATTCATCAATGGAATGGCTTGCCTCCATTGCAAGCAAAAAAAAGAGGTACAGTGTTTTTAGCCTGAAAAATTAACAATTTGGAACTGTGCAATTTTACAGGATTGTATAACTTAGCCTTACTAATGAATGCTATGACTGCAAAAAATCATCTTCTCACATCATGAATGCTCAGTTTTTTCACTCTACAAAAGCCTGGAGAAAAGTGTTATTATTCATTTCTTCAGCAAAAGTCAGGAAAATTTGACTGATGGCTATATAGCCGTATTAGTGTGAAAGCATGCTAGAACCACTTGGTTACCTAAAGATACTTCAATAACAAAAACTTGAGAATGAAAAATACAGCTGGCAGCATAACCAAATAGGAGAGAGATATTCCTATTCCTGAAAAAAATCCTTGATTTTTGTTTTTACCATACCAATTTTTCTAAACACAGGTGTTGTTTTTTTGTTCTCTGGAGAATATTTCTCATCTACGTAGTTTTACTTGGAGTGTAAACTGGAGAAGCTCAGGGAAATGATTACTTCACTGCATGTTTCTCACAAATGGTTACAGATAGTCCTCAACCCAGACCACAATTGGGACTGGAATTTTTGTCATAAGTCATTGCGGTTGAAAATTAAGTCAGACCCAATTTTACAACAATTTTTACGGCAGTCCAGTTTCCCCAGTGGGCATTCATTTGCCAGAAAATGGCAAAAAAGGTTGCAAACCATAATCACATGACTGCAGGACATCGCAACCAATCATAAATGTGAACTGGTGACCAAGGTCCCAAATTGTGATTGTGTGACCATGGGAGTGATATGACAGTCAAGTGTGAGCACAGATCACGTCACTTTTTCCATCATAACCTTGAACCATCATTAAACAAACAATCGTAAATTGAGGACTATCTGTATCTGAGGTAATCTCAACCTTTTGGAAATGATTCTTCAGATTTTTTTGGAAACACAAGGGTACTCTCACAATTTGTTGCCATGGTGACGCAGTCACAGTCACAAAATGTCAAGTTAGCAGAAGGCACATGGATGAGATTCTGCTTGTTTAGTCACTGAACTGAAATATCACTGGCTACCAGAGTCGTTCTTTGGACTCTTGAGGAGTCCTCAGTTTTTTCTTTACCCTTCTTCTGAACTGGACTGCAGCTACTCACCAGATTATTTTCTATGGATGCCTTTGAGATTTACGTGAGGCTTTGCAATGCTCCTTGTGCTTCCTGCTGCACTTTCTTGAGGAATCTCTCTGTGTCAGCATCAGCTTTACTGCTTTAGCTGCCATAAGAAACGGGGAGGGATTAGGTATGGAGCAAAGGGGGGGGAGAGAGCAGGAGGGGGTTTGTCTTTGTAGGAGGGGACTTCGTGGGAATCGAAACTAAATTTCAGAAGGGGATGGCCGACCAACTGTCTTGACATTCCTTATGGATGACGCTGCCAGACGTGTTGCCACCTGACCTTTGGAAGACCTTTAGATTGGCTGAGAAACTATAAACACGAGGGGGGGAAGAAGCTTAGTAGATGCATTTTGCGCATTTTGATCACTTCCAGCTTTTCACTGGGATGTTAATCTTTTCATATTCAGTAAAAGTACCAGATTCTTCAAAATGCTTGAGTTTGGGGTTTTCTTTCCTGGATACTGAAGGAAGCATACCTGACATTCTGGTTCTTCCTGTGCTCAACCTTTGAATCAGGGCAGTCTACTTTTGCCACAGCACAGCAAAGCCAAGCACTACATTGCTGCTGCCCGCCCCCCTACTCCCGGCTAAAGGACTCATATTCGGCTGCCAACTTTTTAGGACAAAGAAGTGCAGCCAGTGCCACCAAAGTTCACCACAGAAGCTGCTCTGATTACCTAGTCTACCTGCTCCCAGTCTCTCTGGAGTCCCAGCAATAGGAACAGAGATCAAGGAAATGACAACAGCCAATAATACGTCAGCGCCTCTCCTTCTTCCTCCCATGTTCACCCTCCTCTTCTCAGGACATGATGTGGGGCAGCCTTTCTGAAGTGCATCTTCCTGGCCTTATTGAGGAGGTCAGGCTTAAAGTTGTAAAGGCAAAGTACAGCAGCACTGCATGGCTACCTTGTCCACCGAAAAACCTACTGACCTGCTTCGCAAATATATATTTAAAATATGAAGAAACAAAACAGGAAAATTAATGGAATAGTGAAAATAAAATAAATGATTAACATAAATTAAAGCACAAATCCCTTCTAGTGAAAAATAAGAGGCCAAACTTCATTTTAGTATGAGTTCGTTCTGGCTGATGCACACACAAATTAAACATAACAATCTGTACTAATGAAAAATAAAAGTCCTCCTCTCAAGACTAAGGACAGAGATATTAAACAACATGAAGGACTTGTGCCCCTCAGGCAAGCATGTCAATAAATATTTCATTGGTTGTGAGCATTTTTCCTTCATACCAATCTTGCATTTAATTCACTACTGATTTACTCAAACCAAGGATGGGTTGCAGGGAGAGGAACGTGTGGATTGACATGTAGAGTAACCAGCAAGGCCCATTTTCTCATGCTGTACCTAAGATCTTTTTATGATAGCTGTGCCAGCAAAGAAAGACAAAAACGGAATCTGCAAAAAAAAAAAAAAAAGGTTCTTTCCACTGAGTGGGAATGGGATCAGACCCAGGTAAGAGTAAAGTGCAATGGGGATTATATAAATGCCACCTAAAACAGAGGGAATTTGACATGTTCTGTCTTCTTAGCCCTAAATCTCTCTGGGAAATGGAAAAATCCTCTTGTTCTAGTGCTAAGAACACAGCCCATCTGCAGCTCCAGCCCCAGCCTCCCACCCTCCTCTGCTAATCAGCTGGACCAGGAGCTGCTGTGCCTGGCCTTCCCTCCTGGGACACAGCATCTTCAGAGTGATGCCATCGCAGGTGGCTCTGAAGGGCATCTTTTGGGCATATTAAGCCACCCAGAATCACCTCAGGGTGAGATGGGCGGCAAACTAATTTAATTTTTAAAAAATTGCTTGTCACCCACAGAAGCCCAAGAGACAGAATTACTGAAAGGAAAGTGAAAGAACATGTAATTTCTTCCCCACTCCCAACCTGCCTGTTTTCTGTAAAGAAAACTTTCTCTACTTTCTATAAAATGATTGGCTGGTTGCTGGTTAGGTTATGCTGCTGCATAGGGTTTTTTTATGTTTTTGAGTTTGCTTTTGCTTCAGTTATAGTTCACAAAATTGGCTGAAAACTGGTTCACTGAGGCATAGAAATGGTATTTTATGCAGATACCAAATGGGCAATAGTGAACGATTAAATTATAACTATTAATCCATGTGTGCTGTTCTAAGTGGAATTGGGACCTCACATAAGCAACTCAAAAAGAAAAACTGCAATCAGGAAATATGATGAATATTATTTTATTTATAAAATTGATGCCTATATTTGTTCAACTAAACCAGGGGTCCCCAACCCCCAGACCACAATTGGCCGTGAGCTGTTCAGAATCAGGCTGCCCAAAGTGGCAGGTGAGTGTGCACCTGCATTTGCATGAAATCCACTCACCTTTAGTATAGCAATAGCACTTAGACTTATATACCACTTTACAGTGCTTTACAGTCTTCTCTAAGCAGTTTTACAGAGTCAGCCTCTTGCCCCCAACAATCTGGGTCCTCATTTTACCCACCTTGGAAGGATGGAAGGCTGAGTCAACCTTCAGCCTGGTGAACTGCCAGATTGCAGTCAGTCAGCAGAAGTAGCCTGCAGTACTGCGCTCTAACCACCGAGCCACTGAGGCTCTGTATGCTATGTATTTTATCTTTTTCAAATTAAGAACTGATGATGAAGAAGTTAAAATCATTCAAGAGGTAAATAAGTACTTAATTTTAGATTTAAAAATGTGGTACGAACCTTCAAAAGAAACTTTCTTATTTTACTTGCTAAGATAATGACCATGCATAAGAACTGTTTTTAAAATTAAAAATGCTTTTAAAATAAATAAAAAAAAAATGCAAGGAAGGGGTATTTAAATTACTAGTCCCCACATCAATTAACATTTATTTAGTGGTCTACAAATGCAGAAAAGAAAAAAAGAGGAAGTCCAGGGGTGAAATGCTCCTAGTTCGGACCAGATCGCCCAATCCGGTAGCGAGGGTGGCGGGTGGTTCAGAGAACCGGTAGCAAAAATCCCTGCGTGTCCCCCCTCCCCCCACCCATCATGCCCAGCTGAGCTGCACAGTCATCAGAGGCTTTTTTTTTTTTACTTTTAAAAGCATTTTTTCTACAACCTCTTCCGACAAAAAAGTGCTTTTAAAAGTAAAAAGAAAGCCTCTGATGATCGTGCGGCTCAGCTGGGATCGTCAGAGGCTTTTCAAAGCATTTTTTTCTGCAACCTCTTGGCCGAAGAGGTGGTTAAAAAAATTCTTTGAAAAGTCTCTGACAATCCCAGCTGAGTTGCCTGATCAGCAGAGGTTTTTCAAAGCATTAGAAAAAATGCTTTGAAAAGTAAAAAAAAAAAGTTGGCCACGCCCACCCAGTCACATTACCCCCACCACCACCAAGCCACGCTCACAGAACCGGTAGTAACAAATTTTACATTTCACCCCTGAGGAAGTCCACCAACTGAATGAAGAATTTTGTATTCTTCATACTTACTGGGTTCAGGAGCACTGTCAGGAAAAGTTCACCACCACGAATGCTCTTGTCTAATTCCTTGGAGCCACCAGGATACTCATTATAGAATATAGTGTGAGTAAAAAGACCACAAGTCTGGCGAGGCAACACCTAGATAAGCCAGAGAGGAGGAGGAGGAGGAAAATTAAAAGAGGGTGTTGGTTCTGGCTGTGAACCTTCATAGGCTGGGGGGGTGGGGAGGCCAAGACCAACAGATGGGCAGAATCCATTCTTTCCACATCAGATGCCCTGGCCTTCAGCTGAGATTCCTAAAGTCCTATGAAAACTTCTATAGAGGTGGAATGGAGATTGACAGTGCACATTCTTCAAAAAGCTAAGAGCTGAAATAGCTCTTTCTCAAAATAATTTTTATTCATTGTATAGAATTATCATCATACAATGAGTTGGGCAGGAAATAAGATGTATTTGTGTGGGCATCTCTATTGAGCCAAGCTGTATTCTAATTCCTTGCATTCCATTGCCTGACCTGGTGTATTTTCTATGGCCATGGATTATGTTCAGTTCTCACTGCCTTGTGTTCCAACCCCATCACCCTTTTAAAAATCTTTTGGTCTCCAAAACCTACCAATTAACTACCCAACTTCATATGGATGATTCTTAAGATTTAAGACTAGAGATGTTTTAAATCAAAAAGAATTTCTTTCCTGTTTCAACAGAAAATAATTAGAGTTATTACTTTATTGGTACATGGTGTTCACCACCCAAGAGATTGTTATAGAGAACAAGATGGTTCATTTGAGCACGCCCTCATTCTTCAGTTTTGAGAACTTCAGAAAGTTGATTTCCCAACAATGAGCACTCCAGAATTGGTTGCACTTCTTTTCTCCTCTAGATAGTTAATAGGGCTCAGCCTCAGCGTCTTACCATGATTCCGTTATGGATGAACCCTCGTCGATATCGAGCAGGTCGAAGATGAGGATATTCCTCTGTGCTAGTCACCTGAATGTCCCAAACAGTTTTCCATGCTTCATAGAGTTGGGCATGAACCGGATAAACCCCTGAGTGGTGGGGGGCTACTGCATAGCCCATATCTGTGGGAATCCCATGTTCCTGGGGTGTAAACAAATTTTAAGAGTTCTACATTCACTTCATTGTTAGCAATTTAGCAAGAGGGAAGAGAAGGGTGGCTGGCTATGGGGCAAGACAAGGAATATATAGATAACGAAGCAAAACTTGTTTGCTTGCCATAAAGCCATTAAGTAGAATGGACAGATCAGTACAAATCAGTTACATTTTTCATTTGCAAATTATCCTAACATACAGAAGATATGAGAGAGGGTACAAGTTCCAGGTCAGATGTGAAATATTAATGGACCTGGAAAGTGTGAAGCAGGAATTAGGAAGAACACAACACTTAGGAATTGCAAGAAATTTCATATTTTCTGACAGAGTTCTGTTGTCACAGATGGCACCTGTTTTTTAAACACTTTCTGCAAACTCTCTCCTACTGCAGTCTGTACTATTATCTTTACATCCTTATCTTAGAACTCAGCAGTGCTCATGTAGTAAACTTGTAGCAGATTGATACATTCCAGAAAGTTGTCCCTTACCAAAGCAAACTGCTTGTTGAGTTTCATTTGCTCTGCCAACACAGTAACGTTGTGAAAGAGATGTGGCTGCATGTGACTCCACATATGAGGAAACCACCAGAATTCCTTCCTATTCTTCAAGAGCGTATCATCTCCTTCATCTTCCTCATCTGTACCTGGAAGCCCATGGAAAAAGGACTAAGCTAGGGTTGCTGGGTTATTATTGAGCAAAGATACTAAAGACCAACAAGACAAAACATAACTTACATTACTGCACAACAGATTTGAAGAAAAAAACCACCAGCCAATTGTTTTGTCTCCTAATGAGGTCTTCACTGAGACTAGAAGCTCCTTCACCAGTTATTTTCAAAGAGAGAAAACCTTCCGCTGGTGTCACAGCAGATTAAGCCTCTGGCTGTTTGTCCAAAACCATTAAGCTCAAAAACTGGGTCCCCCAGTCAGCCCCAAGCACATGTAGTTAAGAAATCTATAAATAGAAGCAAGAAGCTGACTGATAAAAGAAATCCTGGGTGAATATTCTAACTGTACCAGTTATTTCTTTGTTATTTTTCACTATGCAATGAAATATGGCTTTCTTTTGAATCAGCAGGCTTATTTACTTAAAACATTAATATACCGGTAGCTGCCCATTTTATACCAAACTCAGGGCAGCTCCCAGTCAAGGTTGCCTGAATCTAGCCAACTCAGGAGAGTATGATTAAGCAAATATGATTAAATGTGAATCCAACATGAATTTGCTCCTAAGAAATGGGCTAACTTCATATAGAACAAAAAATCTTACCAGTGTGGTAGAATTTCCCAGAGAATCCCAGATTGAAAGTGAAATTGGGAACCAGAGCCCTCAACTTGTTCTGAGTGTTTAAAAGAGCCTGCAAGGAAAGAAGAGAGAAAGGCTGAGAGAAACCATTCAAACCAGTTTCTTAATCAACTCACATGTTGCTAGGAATTCATACCCTTCTCAACAGCGTCCTCTTTCATTACTTTTATCAAGCGCATAAACTGGAAGCTCAGTAAGTCCAAAAGACAGCCCCACATCACCATCCCTCTCCCACTTTCAGGCTTCCCAAAACCAAAGTTTCCGGGTTGAAATATACCAGAGCCAGTATTCTGGGCCTGCTAAATCTGCCTTCTTCTGGGTCTGTGTTTTGAGGAGATATTTCGTTGATCTTTAACTGCTCTGGCATTTTCTGGACTTGTGGCATCTTTCCCGGTCTATACACAAATCTGAGCATTTGTGACTCCAGTCACAATTGTTGACTTTAAAGACAACTTTAAATTGTCTCCACAATCATTCTGGACACCTTTTCTTATTGATTCCCTTTTTTTTAGAGGTTTGCTATTTTAAAATCAAACATAGCTGTTTTGAGCTTTTTCAACAACTGGCATCTTAAATCTTCACTGATTGTTAATATCTTGGTTAGTTTCCAAAAAATATGCACAATCTAAAAAAGAAAGAAACAAAATGTCCAAGGTCATTGAGTTTCGTAGGTGGGTTTGGGGCATGTCTAAATTCAGCATTTGAATAACTGCAATTCTGGTGGCTCTCCAACATCAAAATTTTAATAATTACGATCCACATTCTGAATTACTAATTGAGGTTCCATATAGTCCTCTTAGAATGTCTGCTTGTGTGTTGTTTGTTTAAGGGTGGATAATTGTCTCATTCTTTAAAACGCGATTTCATATTTAGTGTTCCATTGTTCCACTATATACATATATATAGTTGATATACATATAATTTCTAAGCAACCTCATTTGACTAAAATCCCTTTTGGTACTTGACATCTGCATTCTGTGTTACTGAGTCCTGACATTCTGAAGCATCTGGGAAGGTATGTCCTCAAAACAGGGGTGAAATGCTCCTGGTTCGGACCGGCTCGGGCGAGTAGGTAGCGAGGGCGGCAGGCAGTTCGGAGAACCGGTAGCAAAAATCCCTGTCCCCGCCCCCCATGCCCAGCTGAGCTGCGTGATCATCAGAGGTTTTTTTTCTTTTAAATGCCTCTGACGATGCAAGCTCTGATGATCCCAGCTGAGTTGCCTGATCAGCAAAGCGTTTTTAAAAAACCTTCTGACGATCGGGCAACTCAGCTGGGCTCGTCAAAGCCTTTTGATAGCATTTTTTACATGGTTTTACATGTAAAAAAATGGTTTTAAAAATAAAAAAAAATTGGCCACGCCAACCCAGTCACATTACCCCCCCCACCAAGCCACGCCCACAGAACTGGTAGTAAGAAATTTTAGATTTCACTACTGCCTCAAAGAGAAAGATAATGCTAAGCAGCTTAGCAAAGTATAGTTAAGTATAGTAACTTGGGTTACTATAACAACACACGTGTCAGTTGATAAATTCAAAGAATTTCCATTTCTCAGGAAACTGCACCAATCCTACTGAGAGCAAATCTCCACCCAATTAGGTTCAAGAACATCCCCAAACGTCTGCTCTTTACAGGGTGTTTCTTGATTTAATATGCTTCTCAAGATCAGATCTCAAAATATCCACAAGCTTGACAATCAATCACCATCAATAAAAGGCAGAAATAGAAGATTTCCAAACGCTATTTGCAGGTACTGTTCCATCTTTCTTCTGAGATTTTAGAATATTGAAAACAAATCCACATTTATAATTGATTTAGTTTGACTGATGTAACTTTCCTAAACAACATTTATCAGATGCTTCTTACTTCTTTGTCACAGCAGGAAAGTATATTACTTCAAGGCAATGCTCCATACTTTCTATTTTATTATGCAAATATATTTGTTCCTATAATTACATAACTATTTTACTTCTGAAAATTATAACCTGATACATATTCCCCTGTTTTTATTCTTTTTTAAGAACATGCATGGATTGAATGAAAGCAAAGATCCCTATGTTTTTGTAAGGCCAATTACATCTGATTTGCTCATCGTGTAGTTTAATTTTATTTACTCTTCCAAGACTTATTTCATAATTAGTGTGAATATGAAAGGAAAGACCCAGCAAACAGGTTCTTGAAGGCAAGAAGACAAGAAAAACACTGCTGAGCTTCTGGGTACATTGACCAACCCCTTGGTCAAGACTATTTCCAAAAAGTGGGGGATTTCCCTCAGCAAATTCCCATTTCACACCAGTTTCCTTTGGTTTTTTCCTATCAGTTCCATTTTTTCTCTCCCAATCTTTTCAAATAAAAAGTCAAAAAAATACAAGCAAATTAAGAGTATGAATATTCTTCCAACTTGTTGCTTGGTGTACATCAGAAAATATATTTTAAAAAAAATTATTTTAACAAGATGATGATTTGAAAACAAGCAGCTGAATGTGTCACACTGAAACTAGATTTGACAGTGAGTTCATATACTTACATTCTGGAATTAATTTGCAAAAAACATGCCAACTGTTTTGACACTGGGAAATGTTCCTCCACTGCACCTCTCATTTAAGAAGTCAACAAACTTGCAAAATTACCTTTTGTTTTTTGTTTTGAAAAAAGAAGTTAATTTTTCCACCTTGGCAAAGATTCTCTTTCAAATGCATAAAAGTAAGTATTATCTTCTTAGCATCAAATCCCTTCAATTTATGTCAGATTAATGCTCCATTTCACACTGCTAAACTGGTAAACAAAGTATGTTTTAGAATGATCTCATTTGAGTCTTTCTGTAATCACCAGAGAAGCTTTGCAAAGGGAGGTTAACTTCTATAATTCCACACAGGACTATCAGTGAAGCTCTGGGTTTCATCCTTGGCTGGGATCCATCTTGCAACAATTTGGAATAAAAGATTCAGAGAAATGACAAAAATAAAAGCAGTTGCTCGACAACCATCACTTAAAAGAGGCTGGGAATTATACCTGAAATCAACAGGATTTCTAATTTGATCTTATGCTCTTTGGATAAACCCAGGGTTTTAGTTAGGATTTTCCAAGTCTGGCAGGTTCTCACCATCTTTGCATGAGGACATTACAGGCTCTGCCTTTCTCACTACATTCATTTGTTGCGTCAACTCCCCCACTCTTGAGTACAGGACCACAAGTTTAGATCACTTTAGTGGTCTGGCTTTATGTTTGGACTTTCCCGGCTTCTCAAGCATGCACCACAGTTTTATAAGAAAGATGGGAGTCTTGTTTTTCCTACTGTACCAGACTTTTGGGAAAGAGAAAACAGCATAAAACCACTCTTCTTCTCCAAAACACAGTTCAATGTCACTATTAAAATGAAACCTTGCTCCACTGAGTGCACCATCTACTAACTACTTGGAAGACGTACCTACACTTCTTTCGTTACTTCTCCTGAACAGAAGAATAAAGCAAAGCTGACCCTTCTGTAACTTAGCAAGGGTTCATAAAAGGGATTAAAACAAAACAAAACAAAACAAAACAAAACAAAACAAAACAAAACAAAACAAAACAAAACAAAACAAAACAAAAACACACACAACTAGCAGGATTGGCCTGACTATCCTGTTTATGGGGTCTTGTATTATTCACCAGGAAAAGATATCCAGATTATTCTATTCCTATATTTTTCAACAGAAATCCATTTTTATGGGAAGCTGCATTACAATTACTACTATTTTAAAAACAGTAATTGAAACAGGCTCAGCTCTTATGAGATGTTATTATGAAACAAACTCTTAAAAGTGCACCACAAGCAATATTTAAAAGGGCTTGAACTTCTCACTTTAAATGAACTTCAAAATATGCTGCTATATAAACATTTATAAAATAGATCATGCAAATCTGTCAGAGGAATAATTTTTCAAACTACTGTGAAATCTTTAACCTCATATTCTACTGACACTTATATAACTTTCTTTAAACCCAATGCTATATATTAATCAATATATAGCAAGTAGAAAAATCCAGTGGGGTCATTCTCCTAGCAAATTTATTATTTTATCCTTACTGTACTCAAAAATTTAATGCCTAAACCTATGGCTTCTCTAGGGTTTGGAAAATGGGCAATAAATTTCATCCACACTGCCATCTCTTACCAAATGCATGCTGAATTAGCAATTGTTTAAAATGTCCCCTGTCAGCCTAGCTCTACTTTCCTCCTGAGGATTGTTAAGTTTGAATTTGTAATGAAACAAAGATTGAATTTAGCAAACCCACTCACATCATTGGTACAAAAGATAAATGCAGACTGTTGTGATAGCAAATCTCGTGATCTCTTCTTCAACGTCAGATAAGGATTAGGGGGTGACAGTTTTAGAACAAAAGACATTTGATCTTTCATTTCCCCCAAAATTGATGATCTCAGAATTTAGAGAAGGAAAAAAGCTATTTCACAAAGAATTAGTATTTTTTTTTAAAAAAAGCTTTGCAATTCTCATATGTTTAATGGAAACAGTGAGAATCTATATCCTTTTGAATTTATTAGTAAAGATACTTGGTGTTATGACAGTTGTTTACTTTATATTCCCATTCACTCTGTTCCACATTACCTCTACATCAGACACCTTCATGCGTGTCCCCTCTTTGCCCACAAAGATATCATCAATGTCCACAAGGATGTAGCGGTCAAGGGTCAGACAGAGACGCTTGCCAGTCAGGTAAGCAATCGCATCAACAAAGATGAGCTTGTGCAGCCAGAAATTGAGATTATTACCAAAAAGAACCCTCTGGATACCATCATGGAGACCAAGATCCTGCACCACTGTGGCATGCAGAGCTCTGTGCGTAGTCAGGTGAGGGATTGACTCAGACGATTTGGTGCTGGCCATCAATACAGGTTCGTAGGTTGTGTGATTTGACTGGAACACCGTCCAATCGTCCCCAGGCAGAGGGCCCTGTTCCACTTCATTAGCCTGGGTAACATACAGAAGTGGGGCACTGGGATTGATGTGATAATCTCGCAGTCCCAAATTGGAATGTAGGAAGAGAGGAAAGCCTTTGAGCTGAGCACTAAGTAAGCTGTTCTCATTTGCCTTGAAGAAACCGATGATTCCTACTCCATATTCCACACAGTATTTGTCCAAAAGATCCCTGTTCCAGGTATCCAGGTTCACATATTTAAGGATATTCTCATAGATAATAAGAGCATAGCGACCATGGTCCTTGTCCATTAGAGTGGGCATATCTCCCTTTCCAGGAGCAATCTCTGTCCTGTATTTAAACCGACTAGATTCTAAGATGGCCACAATCTCTTGACCCAATTGGGAATAAATGCTTTCCACAAAAACTAGCACCACAGGGTCTGTGCGTGAGTTGTCCACTGATTTTGTAAGCCTCCAGCTTGCCTGGGGCTGGATGAGGATCCTGTGTTGATTACTGCAATCGCTGAAGGGCAGAGGGGGTGGTTCCTTGATTTTGGGACTGTTAGTGACATAGTAAGCCAGGAAGCACATGGAGACCAGGCTGAAGGCAATAAGCAGCAGAATCAGTCTGTGGAGCTCTAACTGTCGCACATGCCTCACCACTTTCCACAGCTGAATCATGATGAGGTGGGTGGCTTAATCTTGCCTCAAGTTTGGCACCTATCAAGCTGCCTTGGTGTCTCCAGCGCCACCACCAGAAGAGCCAGTGGCAGCTCACAGAAAACAAATGTAGGCTGCAGAGAGGAAACAGGCCTAAGTGAGCAGCTGTAAGACTAGATCCCCAGTGATCTGCCATTTATCTCAAGTGACCATGGCCTTCAATTCCCATTGCTCCCTTGAGCACTTCCTCCTTTTTGTTTCTTTGCTGGCTGAGAAGAATCCTAGGAAGCAAGGAGGCTACATGCACTTGTAAGAAAAGTATAGGCTCTCCAGAAAATGAAGTAGTGCCACCAACTGATGAGCTTGCCAATCACATGGTTGTTATTCTGAATTCGCCACCTGCAATAAAAAGTAAGATAAATTTAGGAGTTCTAGAAGATCAACAGTGAAAAGAAGATGCAGTGAAATGCCTATGATGACCTATTAAAATCACCCATTGCTCCTGATATTATCAACAGAGATAAGTGGACTTACAAAGAGTGCTCAGCATTCCAACCTGCCACCCCTAATTTCAGGACTTTCTATTTCATGTCTCCCCTACCAATGATTTCTAATGCCCTCTGAGTATGTTCAATTCTTCCTGGACTTTTCTGTGTTTCATTTTCCCTTTCAAGGTTTCTTCCTATGTGTATGTGTTTCTATTCCCGCAACCATCACATTATTTCCCCTTGTTTTTCAAGAATACTCTTTCCTTGATGTCACAATTCAGCCCAGAGCTGGCTACTAGCATATGTGAGGTGAATTGGGAAATCATGTCTGTGATGTGCAAGTAAGGTGTACTCAGACCAATTCCATTCCTAGCTTCTGGTGTAAAAATACTTTTTAGAAGATCCCTTAATGAATAAGGAAACATGTATACAGCTAGTCCTCAGCTTACAACCATAGTGGAGCCTGCCCATTATGGGCGTAAATTGTAACCATCGTAACATGGATCATCATGGGATTGATCTACTTTTAAAACCCCTTTCTGCAGTGGTTGTTAAATGAGTGTGGTAGCTGTAACGTGAGTGCTGCAGTGGTTAAGCAAACTAGTTGCTAGTTGCTTACTATTGGTGACTTTGCCAAAAAACAGAAGTAAATGACAGGTTTTGGCAAAAATGTTGTAAATCAGTCGTGTGACTTCAGGATACTGCCAAAATGTTGGCCAGTTGCTAAGTGCCCAATTGGAACTGGAACGTTGGCACATGGGGGGGAGGGGTGGACAGCATAGTTTTGAACGGTTGAAGGACTTGAAGCATCGAGGACGACTGTCATTAACCGTTCCTTATTTCAGAGAATTACCAGATTTTCCACACTGATATAGTGTTATTTTATCATCAGAGTTGCTTTACATTCATGCTATCAAGATTTTTAAAAATTCCAAAATAGTTACCACCATAAACTCAAACAAAAGGAAATGAGGAACTCTAGAATATCATCATTACAATATAGGAAAAACTCTTTGGTGTTATTTGTCTGATAACAGAACGTGCACCAATGCATTTATTTTTGGAATGAGATAATCACACAAATTATACAACATGTAATATTTGTGATGCCACAATGATACTGTCCTTTGAGAAATAACAATCTTTTCTACAGTAAGTCTGTTAAAATGAGATTTTACTTACTCTTATTTTTTTCCTTAGGTTTTTAAATTCACAAATCATAAAATTAATTCATCTAGGCTTAGGTGAATAAGTTAAATACTGTACTAGTAGTGTCTATGGAGATTCTCAGTCATCCAGGTCATGGTTGCCCTAAAAATGCTTTTTCAAGAGGCAACTGGACTTTCTGGTTTTTCTTTGAAGATGTTTCGCTTCTCATCCAAGAAGCAAAATGTCTTCAAAGAAAAAACCAGAAAGTCTTGAAAAAGCATATTTGGGTTAAATACTAGTATGAAATCTTTAAATTGTAAATACATAAACTATTTAGTAAGTACAAGTTGTTGGAAAATACTAGAAAGAAAATAAAGTGCAGGAATAAGTAAAAGAAAATAAGTTAATATTTTTCAAAGTATTCAAAAACTCCCTACTTTATGCCTCAATTACCGAAGATGCCAAAATACACAAAATTAAGAAAATCTGATCAGAAACAGATGCCCTGTGCCCTCAAAGTAGAGACTCAAATCAAGTTTGTGAAGCAGAGACCACTCCTGTTTAAGAGAAATACCCCATTTTACTTATTCAGCTATCTCCATTCTAATGGCTAAGTGTAACACAATAATTTTTAACAGACTTCTAAAGAATTTAGAGGAAAAATTGCTTTGAGGGTATCAAGTTGTGTAGGGAAAAATGTTACTTTTCAGTCCTTCAAGATACCACAACTGTTTTAAATATGTATTTATAGACCAAATATGGTTTTATGGGCGAGTAGTCTTATTGGTAAAGCTGATTTTAGTCTTCATTAGAAGAAGAAACTAATCTGATCACCATTTAATGTTTCTTGCTATAAAATCTGCCTAGGTAAGAAACTTTCTATAGCAAATAAATGAAGCCAGGAATCTCATAACTGCTCACATTTAAGAATTTCTCTTTCACAAAATTAAAATCTAACTAGTAAACAATCTTTTAATTTTATTTATACAGGTCATCCTCAACTTATGACAACTGAGCCTGGAATTTTGGTCATTGGGAAGGTACCATATTTTCCGGCGTATAAGACGACTGGGCGTATAAGACGACCCCCAAATTTTCCTGTTAAAATATAAGGTTTGGGCTATACTTGCTGTATAAGACTACCCCTCTTCCAACACACACCAAATAAAAATTAAAAAAACATCAACTGGCTCACCCACAATGTAAAAGCAGCTGTGCTAGACCCAAAATGGCCCCTGAAACAAACAGGAACCTCACACAGCCACAAAAAGCCCAAAAAAACAACTTTCACACTTTACACACACACAACACAACACAACACAACTGGCTCATCCACAATGTAAAAGCAGCTGTGCTAGACCCAAAATGGCCCCTGCAACAAGCAGGAACCTCACACAGCCACAAAAAGCCCAAAAACCCAACTTTCACACTTTACACACACAAAATTCCACATACAGCTTTGTGAGATTTTGTGTGTTTGTGTAGTTAGAGTGAAACACTACAGAAACACTAAATCTCAGAAAGCTGCACAAATATTATTTTATTTTATTTTTATTTTTGTACGAAAGCTAAATTTAAAACTTCCTAAACTTTAAATGGCTAGGTCTAAAAAAGAACAACTAAAAAAACCACAATTAACTTTTTTTTTTTTAAAGATCCCAAAGGGGAAAAAAACTTACCCAATAGAACAGGGGTCTCCAACCTTGGCAACTTTTAAGACTTGTAGACTTCAACTCCCAGAATTCCTCAGCCAGCTTTTGCTGGCTGAGGAATTCTGGGAGTTGAAGTCCATAACTCCCTGCCTGCTTGATTGCAGGCAGGGAGTTGCTTGCTGATGGAATGGATTCAGGCAAGCGAAGCAAGGCAAGCAGCTAAGGCAGTGGTTCTCAACCTTCCTAATGCCGCGACCCTTTAATACAGTTCCTTATGTTGTGGTGACCTCCAACGATAAAGTTATTCCTAAAACCATCAAAAATATGTGTTTTCCAATGGTCTTAGGTCAGGGGTCCCCAACCTTTTGGACCTCAGGGACCACCAACTTCATAATTTTAAATTTCGTGGACCACTAATACGAATCCAGTGCACCGCTTGCTGAAGCACCTGGACTCCCAATATGGGATGGGGTCCTTCAGGCACTCTCCCTCCTCTCTGTCTCTCTCTCTTATTCTCTCTTTCTCTCTCTCTCATTTTCGCTTTCTCTCTCTCTCCCTCTCTTTCTTTCTCTCCCACTCTTTCTCATTCTCTTTCTCTCTCTCTCATTTTCGCTTTCTCTCTCTCTCCCTCTCTTTCTCTCCCACTCTTTCTCATTCTCTTTCTCTCTCCCCCCTCCCCCACTCTCATTCTTTCTTTCTCCCCCTCTTTCTCATTCTTTTTCCCCCCCCTCTTTCTCTTTCTCTCTCCCCTCTCTCTCATTCTCCCCCCTCTTTCTCTCTCTTTCTCCCACTCTCTTTCTCTCTCCCCTTCTCTCCCCCCCTCTCTCTCATTCTCTCTTTCTCTCTGCCCCGCCTTTCTCTCTCTCCCCCACTCTCTCTTTCTCTCTCCCCCTCTTTCTCTTTCTCTCTCTCCCACTCTTTCTCTCTCATTCTCTTTCTCTCTCTCTCTCCCCACTCTCTCCCTCTCATTCTGATTCTCTCATTCTGATTCTCTTTCATTTTCTCTCTCTCTCTCTCATTCTGATTCTTTCATTTTCTCTCTCTCTCTCTTTCTCTCTGATTCTTTGATTCTCTGTCTCTTTCTCTGTCTCTCATTCTCTCTCTCTCACTCTCTCTCTCTGATTCTGTCTCTTTCTCTCTTTCTCTTTCATTCTGTCTCTCTCTTTCATTCTTTGTCTCTTTCTCTCTCTGTCTCATTCTGATTCTCTCTCTCTCATTCTCTCTTTCATTCTTTGTCTCTTTCTCTCTCTGTCTCATTCTGATTCTCTCTCATTCTCTCTCTCTCTCATCTCATGGGCCAGCCAGTGTCTTGGGGCTGAGAGGAAGTCAAGCATCTCCTTGAGAGACTGAGGGCCGGAAGAAGTGTGGGAGCGAAGCACTACTTGAACTTGTGCGGCATGAGCATTCGCCTTGGTATATTTGCGCCAGCCGATGGCCAAGGCAGCCCTCATCTCTCTGCTGAAAGTGCAGCATCAGGATTCTGCCTTGGTATATTTGCGACGCAAGGCAGCCTTCATTTCCTGCTGCTTGGGACTCAGAGTGGTAAATGGTGACTGGTCCGGGGAGCAGCTGGATTTTGCTTTCCATTGCGGACGCCAGATCAGCCCCCTGCAAGATCTCATCTTTTTGAGGAGCGCTCCCTGAAGTGGGGCTGGAAACTTTGGTCGGGCTCCTCGAGATATGAGATCTTGCAGGGGCTGATCTGGCGTCCGCAATGGAAAGCAAAATCCAGCTGCTCCCCGGACCAGTCACCATTTACTGCTCTGAGTCCCAAGCATCAGGAGAGGAGGGCTGCCTTGTGCCGCAAATATACCAAGGCGGAATCCTGATGCCGCTCTTACAGCGGAGAGAAAAAGCCGGATTTTGCTCTCCATTGCAGACACCAGATCGCCCCCCCCCCCCGCAAGCTCTCCTCTCTCAAGCAGCCCGACCAAAGTTTCCAGCCCCGCTTCAGGGAGCGCTCCTCGAAAGATGAGATCTTGCAGGGGGCTGATCTGGCATCCGGATTAGAGAGCAAAATCCAGCTGCTCTCCGGATCAGACGCCATTTACCACTCTGAGTCCCAGGCAGCAGGAGAGAGGGCTGCCTTGCACCACTGGCTGGCACAAAT